GTGTTTTATTACATTATAACACAGTGCATGGCCACCTTGTAATAACACTGCAGAGTTTCAACTAAAGGCTTGTGAACTTACGCATGCTGCTAGTCAAGACTTTAAAACGTTTCCAAAGCGTCACATAGCTTTCACCCTTTTTAATACTTTTTACTCATGCACTATCTGCAAAGGAATTTAAAATTGTGCGCTCACCGATTCCACGTGGTGTTGGTCTCTGGTGTAGGGTATGTCCGAAAGTTGGAACTTTTGCTTGCCGAAAGGCGGTACCAAGTTCTCTAAGATGTCACTCGGCAACTTTACTGATATATTTCCATATCTATCTTCTTCTGTTTCTGAGATTTTATCCGAAAACTGCAGAAAGTGATAGAAGTTACATGTACATGTCCTAAAATTTTGTTGCGGTGTTTATTTTTGTTCTAGTGATAATTAGTTACATAAGCATCCCACATGGCAAGCACTGGAAAAATGTCCTGAACTCTTACATTTATCAGATTTCAATTCTTACTATCAGATAGTCCTTCAGATAAGATATTTTATGAGAAGTTGACGGGTGGACCGAGGAAAAAATACTCGTATTTCAGGGATGTGTACGTACTGATATTTGTAATGTAGGTATAAAGATTTTCCTGCGAAGATACAGATCGGTCACCGTGGATCGGTTTCTTCCAAAACTTCCGGTAACTGTAAATATTCCGCTAGCATTACATCAAACTGCCCACCTGCTTTTCTCTACTCGACAGGTTCTTTGCCCAAGCGTTCAAAAACATCCCACTCGTTTCTCTGAAAAAGAAGTTACTAAGATTGCAATAGTTGATGGCATAAGAGAAAGGGCTTGGAGCCGGGCTGGTATCTACTCGGGCTATGTATTGTGGACAGGTTATAGCCTTTATTTTCCCAACAACCACTGCTTCATTCATATTCTGCAAGTACCAGGATGTTCGCTCATACCTTGTTTGTCACCAGGATGTTATCAACCATATTTTTGTCAACAGTCATGTATATCTATTATAGACCTCAGGATTATATACAGTAAGTATACTGATTTGTTAGATTTGTTCTCTCATTTCTGCCATACTTTGTACCTTGTACATTGTTGCGTAATAAAAGTCATGTATAATCAACTTACTGTATATAAAGTTATATATAGTACGCTAAGTACCAATCATAACTGTTTGACACGAATAACGTTGTCAGTCCTAGCGGCACTGGAATAAATCTTGGGAGGATATACAATATTAATGTACTAATAGTCTCAGTAGTAGATATTTCCAAGCGATTCAATTAGGTTCTCTTCTTCCCTCCCCACGCCTCTCTTTGGTAATCGTACTGTACTACATACGGAAAGACTGAGAGATCATCGAGCAGTACCGAGAGGAACTTCGTTTTGTATTTGTCCCTCCCTCCCCAAGCAGCCTACAAGGTTCGACATCCTTACCTTTCTATGTCAGTCGCCTTTTTCAGAACCGTCCTGAACCAGTCACTACTGGCCATCTGTGAAAGGAACAGGAAATACGCCAAGCCCAGAATCTGCAGAAAGAGCGCCTGCAAACTGCAGCACGGCAGCCTTTTACGAGGCATTGTAACATACTCTTACAATGAAGACAGAATTATGAAATAGCTCAAGGACACATTTGATACGTGCCGTGTGGGTATGTGGATATTTACGGATATTGAAGACAGACCAGGATATACCCATGTGTGACCTAGGGTTTGTCGATATGTACCATGCCTCACCCTACTCTCTAAGCAGAGGTCGGCTGGGAAAAGTGTGAGCTCCGTTTTCTGTCATACTGCCAAATCCACTGTCCATTTAGAAACTTTTTACTTATTTCACGGACGCACGCGCACTCACACACACACCCGTCACACATACACACAATCACACACACACACACACACACACACACTCACTCATATACTCGTAGGTGCCAATATGCCGGATATATTAATTTCAATATGATCTATAGCACCGATTTTTATATGCATTGGCCTGTTAAATGTGTACTACAGCACTGTAAATAACAGCGGGTTTGATGTACATGTCATGCAAGTTTATTTAAATGAGTATAAACTGAAACTGAATTAAAAGTCCAGAGAGGTAGCGTCCTTCGTACGAGTAGCTGCCCCTGCCGCCTTGTTATGGTACTGCAGTGTTGGGGCTGTAATCCTGACGGTTGTGCCAGGTGATGATCTTCTCCTCGTGCAGTCTCTGCCACAAACGACTCTCCTCGCTGTAGTCATGGTTACCCCACCTTATGTCTCCGTCCGCCTGCTGCTTGGGAACCTTCTGGTGGTCGTAGTAGTGCGCATAGAATCTGTAGGAACGTGTACTTTGTGTGTTGGTTCTGAAGTGGGCTATCATGGATCCATCTGCAGCGTTTTCCAATGTTAGGTAATACTAGTAATCACGCCAGAGTAGAAACTCCGATCTGGTAGAATCGGCGATTCTATACCAGTGGAGATCCCGACCAGAGTCTCTTTCAACCGAAACTACGAATCCCGAATGGAGTATGTAAATTTAAAGATATTCACTGAACAGAGAGTCAGAACTTTTCAACTTTAATTCATGTCACTTAAGATCAATGCATTGACTAGTATGCATTGGCTTGAAATTCAGGATTTGTAAATGGGAAACTTTCCTAACAGTAACACATTAACAGCATCTCGATCGGAGTGTCTTTCGAAAGTTAGATCGGTGTGTCTATCCTGACATATAGCAAGCAAAATCCTGGGTACTATAGGTTAACAAGGACATAAAATTGCACTTACCGTGGGTCATAACCAAATCCGTAGATGTTCACAACGTCGCACAGTTGGATAGCCAGGAACACTGTCATCGCCCCCGTGGTTGGTCGAAGAGACAGTGATGTGTCCATGTAGTTCACAAAGACGTAACGGATGAAGTCAGGATGCACAACTTTCGTTGTTGTGCGGTTGACGTTAGCGTTGAGAGGAATTTCACACCACCTAAAGATGTGTAAATGCACCCTTTATGCTTTAATTTTAAGTTACAACACACACCAAAAGTTTTTTTTCTAAATTCTATTCTTTTGTTCTGTTCGGTTACTTTGGGACACTTGTATCTATTGTTTTAAGGTTTGATGGTCACTCTGAACGAAACAGGGTGTGAAGCTCCTGGCAGGCTGTTGCTCTCTTAGCGGCTGTTGTGGCTAAGAACTACCACTGTGTTTCTCCAGTTCCTATATATATATATATATATATATATATATATATATATATATATATATATATATATATATATATATATATATAATTACCCTGTTAACTTATATCTATAACTTCATAAAGAATCTAATGAACTCAACCTATCTCTTTATCAATTTGTTATTACATTAACTTACGGTACGCCACACTTTGGAAGGGTCCGGTTGTACAGCCATTGTGTGATATAGGGCAGGTCGGGCGTCTTGAAAGGAATGTAGATCTGCAATGCATGCTGAAAGTAGGAAGGACTTCACATTTCAAAGTTTCTCAGTTTCTCATTTCAACCCTCACTGTCAGAGATATGAATTATATCTTGCACGTTTAAGACGTAGTAACCAATGTGACCTGTTTGTTCCCAAAACTGGTCGCCTCACGGCATACCATACATAAGAGTACACGTCAAGTAAAGAGTAGACTGAAGTTGGCGATGCAGCGTTCAGTGCAACCTGCAAACAACTTACAAGCCCGTCTTAGATTGAGATTGGTGACAACCTACATGTAGGTCTTCTGGCATTGGTAGCTGAAGAAGAGAGGCAGGCAGAACTGGTGCGTCGCAAAAGTAACCGAGGGCCTACTTTCGAAAGTACTTCAGCAGAGACGCAGGAAGTGTGCCGTGGCAGCTCCTTGCTATTGAGCAATAAAACCACTGAATATCGTTACTTCTGTTGAAATTTGGACTGAAAATAAATGCCAATAACTTCTGATTCCATTTTATTCCATTTCATATGATGTAACAAGAGATAATGTCAGACACATTCTATTCCTGTTATGATCTGTTTTATGAAGTTGGCAAGAGAGCCGTGCCGGCTGTTTTCCCTTGCCCTTCAACATTCTGACACACAAATACATGGTGTAACACACACAAGTACACGATGTAACACACACGTGGTGAACTGTGCGACGTAGTCTGAGGCAGGAGTTTATATATGCTCCCTATAACCCCCTTTTCCTGACCATCTGATGCACTGATTAGCACATGTGACGTCATAATCTTAGGCAGGTGCCTGTTCGGCCGCCCGACGGGTCCCGGGCAGTGAGGTTACGGCGTCGCTTCGGCGTATTTCGCCGAACGGGGCCCGAAGTGTTTTTAACTCTGAGTTAAAATCGATTCGGCGACCGCGCGGGGTCAAAAATAGGCCGGCAGACGTCGGGAAGCCCGCCGGTCTCCGTCCAGGTCCCGTTCGGTAGTGCCAAAAAACACGCCGAACACGCGCCGAGCGGGCCCCTTTCTTGAATTGTGACCTAAGCATAATAAGGGGTTTCGGATTAACGTCCCATGCAAATCGACAACGCATAGCCATAGCTTGGTTCTCATTTTCACCTGAGTTGAGTAAGGATATGTTCAGTAGAAGTGACTTTCCAAAAGGGCACAACATTAGCGCCTGGTAGGGATTCGAATCTAGAACCTTCAGATTCCAAGGTAACAGCTAGAAGACTACTTTGAGGTTGTAAAACATATTTATGGCACGACAGTAATCAAAACATGTGAAAATGTGTGGTAACGAAGCAAACTCTACGTCATGAAATGAAGTATGGGACTTACCGCGCTGGCAACGAGCTTGTTTCTCCGATTATGTGACTCCGGAAAAAAGATATAGAAGGACAGCTTTTTCCCGACATCCTTAGCAAATGGCTCGTCCATGAGAGCATGGTTCACTCTAGAAAATATGGAGTCTATATGACATCTTCTGTTTCTGCGTTGATGTTTTTGTCCATCATCCATAGACACATATGCAGTAATTATTGCACATGATGTAACTATTGCTCTCCGTATACCTTAAAGCTGCTGCTGCCAATTAATTACCTCCATGAAAAATGGAGGTATTGTTTTTGGCGGCGTCTGTCTGTGTGTCTGTGTGTGTGTGTGTCTGTGTCTGTGTGTCTGTGTGTCTGTGTGTCTGTGTGTGTTTCCGCAACTTTGTAGTCAGCATAACTTCATAACGCCTTTATGGATTGTGATGATATTTGGTATGCTGATAAGTCTTAGGAAGACAAAGGTCAAGGTCAAATATGGGCCTCCTGGTGGATGACCTTGGTACTGCAGCAGAACTTCCGGTTTTTGTATCTTTTGTCCTGAACATGCTATGGTCTTCAATTTTTGGTGACAGATAGCTTTTCCTGTTAGGAATAAGTGGTGTGGGTTTGGTCCCCCTAGCAGCTTGTTCAGGAACTGCAGGGGACTTTCGGGCGAAATCTTTGAAAGCCAATAAGTCCAGATAGGAACAGCGTATTTTCATCATTTTTGGTGTGTAGGTATCTGACAGAGAGATGTACACAATTAACTGCAAATTATGCAAATGAGGACTTTATTTGCATAATTAATGAGGAAATTCTATAATTACAGTCCGGTTTTTGTATCTTTTGTCCTGAACAAGCTATGGTCTTCAATTTTTGGTGACAGATAGCTTTTCCTGTTAGGAATAAGTGGTGTGGGTTTGGTCCCCCTAGCAGCTTGTTCAGGAACTGCAGGGGACTTTCGGGCGAAATCTTTGAAAGCCAATAAGTCCAGATAGGAACAGCGTATTTTCATCATTTTTGGTGTGTAGGTATCTGACAGAGAGATGTACACAATTAACTGCAAATTATGCAAATGAGGACTTTATTTGCATAATTAACGAGGAAATTCTATAATTACAGTGTTTTACATTATAGAACTTTCATACATTTAATGTATGTAACCTATGGCAGATGGAACATCAACAGATACTAATTATGCAAATGATGACCTAATTTGCATAATTAATGCAAAAAATATATGATTTCTCAATGGTGAATGATGGGAATGTCTTACTTGGGACATCTTTAAGTTAATCAAAAGTTAACATCACGATGCATATATTATGTTAATGCAGAGGTAATTTGCATAATTAAAGAAGAAATTTACATTTACATATCAAGCCCATATTTCATGGAGGTATGAGATCTCGGAACTCTTGTTTTGGGAAGTTTTTCAATGACCTCAAAAGTCTTTTACCTGAAGACATAGTCGTGCGCGTCTATCTTTTCTCCCTTGTTTGACCCCCTCAGGACCCCTCCTGTCCCCACCACTGCACACCGAACACACGGCTTCCTCTGACGGTCGCCATGGAAACCGAACACATCCGGGTTCTCCAACAATCCGATCATTTTCTGGGTAACTAAGTAAGAATAGTTCTTGTATTGGTGAGCGGTTTGTTGCAGTATTGTGCGTTCGAAAACAAACTTAAGTGGACACTTATGTTCATGAGGCTATGCTGCACAACAAAATTACCCGTACCCCTTGGCAATGGTATGAATAGTTGTGTTCTTAATTGTAAGTATGCAACATAGATTACTCTGTTATTATGTAACGTTATAACCAAAGAGGTTCAAAATCTAACCTATAACTAGGGACGTTTTAGGATGATCATTGACTTACGGTTGAAATTTTTCCTATATTTCTGGTCGTGATACCAATGTATCTGATGTTTTTAACTCATATCATTTTGGGCTTAGGTTAACTAAGAAAACAACTCTTTTATTTCTCAGATGAAGTTATAAACCCAACCTTTCTTGTCCTGTGGTTTGTATCCGAACGGCAGTTCAAAGTAAGCGCTGAGATGGTCGTTCCAGTAAGAATCGTCCAGGTCCTCGCGGTCCATGAAAAGTTTGACGTCTTCCACGAATCGAAACTTAAACCACTCGGACGAGTTGACTCTCCAGCGGAGACTAACAGGACAAACCTGTGGGAGGGATGGGTCACCGTTTGGTTCGTCTGTATTACCGTCTTACTTAAAGGGGTAATAATATAAACACTTTTACAGTAAAAACTGAAATATTTTGATTGAAAAATCTTAGAGCGATTGTAATTTACTTCCACTTCTCAACATAGTTGTGCAATTATCTCACATTTCTGACATTTATATTACAAAGTGTCGATGTATATATATATATATATATATATATATATATATATATATATATATATATATATATATACATCGACACTTTGTAATAAGACTGCATAGTTTCAACCAAAGGCTTGTGAACTTTCAAAAGTGTCAAACGACGGAGATTTTGGAAATGTTCTTTTAATTCTTAAACCATTTTAAATACTTTCTACTCATGCACTATGCGAAGAAATTTAAAATTGTGCGCTCACCGATTCCACGTGGTGTTGGTCTCTGGTGTAGGGTATGTGTGAAAGTTGGAAGTTTTTCTTGCGGAAATGTGGTACCAAGTTCTTTAATTTGTCTCTCGGCAACTTTACTGATATATTTCCATATCTATCTTCTTCGTTTTCTGAGATTCTATCCGAAAACTGCAGAAAGTGATAGAAGTTACATGTACATATCTTAAAATTTTGCTTCGGTGGTTCCTTTTATCTAGTGATAATTAGTGACACAATCATCGAACATGGCAAACACTGAAAAAATGTCCTTAACTATTACATTATCAGATTTCAATTCTACTTTCTACTCATGCACTATCTGCAAAGGAATGTGCAATTGTGCGCTCACCGATTTCACGTGGTGTTGATCTCTGGTGTAGGGTATGTCTGAAGGTTGGAACTTTTGCTTGCCGAAAGGTGGTACCAAGTTCTCTAAGATGTCACTCGGCAACTTTACTGATATATTTCCATATCTATCTTCTTCGGTTTCTGAGATTCTATCCGAAAACTGCAGAAAGTGATAGGAGTTACATGTACATATCTTAAATGTTCTAGTGATAATTAGTTACACAAGCATCCCACATGGCAAGAACTGAAAAAATGTCCTAAACTGTTACATTATCAGCTTTCAATTCTTTATTATAAGATTGTCTTTCATATCAGATATTTTGTGAGAAGTTGCTGGGTGAACGTAAGAAATAAAAATACTAGTATTTCCGGGATGTGTGCGCACTGATATATGATGTAGGTATAAAGATTTTCCTGCGAAGATACAGATTGGCTACGTCATCTTTAGCTTTGCAACGACAACTGTAAATATTCCGCTAACATTACATCAAACTGCCCACCTGCTTTTCTCTACCCAGCTTGTTTAGGTCGTGTTGAACTGACAAGGCTGTTTCATTGTGTTTCTCTGACCAAGCGTTCAAAAACAACCCACTAGTTTCTCTGAAAAAGTAGTTAGTAAGATTGCAATAGTTGATGGCATAAGATAAAGGGCTTGGAGCCGGGCTATGGATTGTGGACAGGTTATAGATTTTATTTTCCCAACAACCACTGCTTCATTCATATTCTGCTAGTACCGTGTTTGTCACCAGGATGTTATCTTTTACCGTATTTTTGTCAACAGCCATGTGTAGTCTATTATAGACGTGAAGATTACATACAGTATGTATATATAATCAACTTACTGTATATAAAGTTATATATAGTACGTTGACTCCCAAATATGGCTGTATGATACGGGTAACGTTGTCAGTCCTAGCGGCACTAGAAAAAGTGTTGGGTTGATATACTAGTAGCCACAGTTGTAGATATTTCCAAGCGATTCCATTAGGTTTTCTTCTTCACTCCCACGCCTCTCTTTGGTAATCGTACATACCGAAACTCAGAGATCATCGAGCAGTACCGAGAGGAACTTCGTTTTGTATTTGTCCCTCCCTCCCCAAGCAGTCTACAAGGTTCGACATCCTTACCTTTCTATGTCAGTCGCCTTTTTCAGAACCGTCCTGAACCACTCACTACTGGCCATCTGTGAAAGGAACAGGAAATACGCCAAGCCCAGAATCTGCAGGAAGAGCGCCTGCAAACTGCAGCACGGCAGCCTTTTACGAGGCATTGTAAAATGCTCTCTTACAAAGAATTATCTAATGGCTCAATTAGGACACATATGATACGTGCCGTGTGGGTATGTGGATATTTACGGATATTAAAGACAGACCAGGATATACCCTTGGGTTTATCGATACGTACCATGCGTCACCCTACTCTCCGAGTAGATGTGGGATGGGAAAACGTTTTGGTGAGATTCTTCTTATTTGCCCCGTTTTCAAATCCATTGTCCATTGAGAATTATTTGTACTTATTTCACACACACACACACACACACACACACACACACACACACACACACGCACACACACACACACACACTCATGTAGTGCTTTTATGGCTGAATGTATATTTTTAAGTTGACAGTTGATCTATAGCACCGATTTTACATGCATTGGCCTAATTGTGACAAATGTGTACTACAGCATTGTAACAAAATAGCGGGTTTTATATACATGTGTACATGTCATGCAGCTTTATTCAAATTAGTATAGACTGAAACTGAAGTAGAAGTCCAGAGAGGTAACGTCCTTTGTACGAGTAGTGGCGGCTTGTTATGCCGGCTTGTTATGGTACTGCAGTGTTGGGACTCTGATCCTGACGGTTGTGCCAGGTGATGATCTTCTCCTCGTGCAGTCTCTGCCACAGACGCCTCTCCTCGCTGAAGTCATGGTAACCCCACTTGATCTCTCCGTCCGCCTGCTGCCTGGGAACCTTTTGGTGGTCGTAGTAGTGCTGATTAAATCTGTAGGAACGTGTACTTTGTGTGTTGGTTATAAAGTGGGCTATCATGGTGCACAGAAATACCACCTGCAGCGTCTTCACAGCTGAAGACAGGGGAATCGAGTATGTTAATCCTAAGTATTCGCTCAAGAGACAGAACTTTTCAACTTCGATTCATATCACTTCAATGCATTGACTTGAAATTAACACCCTAACACATTAACAGCATCCTGTTTGGAGTCTCTGTCAGATCGGAGTTGTGATATATGTATACAAAAGCCTGGGTACTACAAGTTTAAAGGTAAAATCGCCCTTACCGTGGGTCATAGCCAAATCCATAGATGTTCACAACGTCGCACAGTTGGATAGCCAGGAACACTGTGATAGCTCCAGTGGTTGGTCGAAGAGACAGTGACGTGTCCATGTAGTTCACAAAGACGTAACGTACAAAGTCAGGATGCACAACTTTCGTTGTTGTGCGGTCGACGTTAGCGTTGAGAGGAATTTCACACCACCTTAAGATGTGAAATAGATATCTTAATAGGCTAACAACTACCACTGTGTCTCTCCATTTCCTGGATATATTTACCTCTTATTATTAGTAAGTTGTTTGTCTAACGAACGCAACCTTGATCTTTATCAATGTGTTAATTATGGGTTAATGACCCGCCACGAGGTGTATATGGTGTCATAAGGACCGGTCATTGCATTCAACCACCGGTTGAACCGCCGAGTGAGCGCTAGCTACTTCTAGTTCTCTGTCTGGTGCGCCCCACTCACGTAATATTCTTCTATATCTTCTGAATGGAAATCAAATTCTTCATCCATTAGGACGTATTCTCTTTGCAACGATGACGGACAACTTAAATATGTTGTTAGACAGAGTCTGTTCTCTAACCCAATATTCATGTTCCACCGGTATGTTCGATCTGACCTCTTTCGAACAGAGCAGTCGACGCTGATTGGTCCCAGGGGGTTCGGGGATTTAAGTACCGCTAGGTAGTTTATGGCGTCACACCCAATAGAAAATGGGGACCCCCGATTGGTGAACATCATCTGGCTATATGATGATATATTCATAACTTACACTGCGCTACACTTTGGAAGGGTCCGGTTGTACAGCCATTGGGTGATATAGGGCAGGTCTGTCGTCTTGAAAGGAATGTAGATCTGCAATGCATGCTGAAAGTAGGAAAGACTTCACATTGTTTCTCATTTCAAACCTTAATGTGGGAGATATGAATTATATCTTGCACGCAAACGGAGTAGTTACCAATGTGACCTGTTTGTTTCCAGAGCTGGTAGCCTCACGGCATGGCATGCCTGTTTTTGACATTAACTACAAGTTGCGTGAGATCAGACTGTTGATCCACTCACTCACTCACTCACTCACTCACTCACTCACTCACTCACTCACTCACTCACTCTCACTCACTCACTCACTCACTCACTCACTCACTCACTCACTCACTCACTCACTCCTCACTCACTCACTCAAAGGGATGATCAATTACTTCAAGCTAAGTGTTGTCGAATCTTTAAAATGGTCTAGGTGTGGCTCTTCATGGAGGGGGACCTCCGGATTCAATTTGGATTCCATCCAAAACGTCAACCCCTAACCGAAGATTGGTACTCATTTTCACCTGAGTCGAGTGAGGATATGCTCATGATCAGTAGAAGTGACTTTCCAAAGGGCACAACATTGGAGCCTGGTTCGAACCTAGAAGCTGTAGATTCCAAATCGACAACCAGAAGACTACCTTGAGGTGGTCACATGTACAAAAGTAATCAAAATATGTGAAAAGATGTGACAACAAAGCGAATTCTACGACATCAAGTATGGAACTCACCGCGCGAGAAATCAGCTTGTACCGATTATGTGATTCCGGATAGAAAGTATAGAAGGACATCTTACTGCCGACATCCTTGCTGAATTCTCTCCCCATGAAAGCATGGTTTACTCTAGAAAAAAAGTGTCCATATGACATCTTCTGTTTCTGCGTTGATGTTCTTGTACATAGACACATGTGCGGCATCAAACACGGTGTAACTTTTGCCCGAATACCTTAAAGCTGTTGCTGCAATTAATTTTTTTTAAGTCTTTCAATGACCACAAAAGTATTCTACCTGAAGACATAGTCGTGTGCGTCTATCTCTGCTCCCTTGTTTGACCCACTCAGGACCCCTCCTGTCCCCACCACTGCACACCGAACACACGGCTTCCTCTGACGGTCGCCATGGAAACCGAACACATCCGGGTTCTCCAACAATCCGATCAGTTGCTGGGTAACCATCCTTCCATCACCTAGAAGATAACCAAAAGACTGTGTTCCTACTAAGATCAGAAAACCCACTCACTATGCACTGCCTTCAAAGAAGAAGAATAGCAAGCGTATAGTAGTAGTAGAAGATAGTAGTTGTCTGTTCCCTATTGTTGTATTGTGCCGTATAGTATCTTTGACTCTGTAAAAGCAATTAGCCTTGGGGCATGATTTTGCAAATAAAACTTATTACTAAGTAAGAATAGTTCTTGTATTAGTGAGAGGTTTGTCGTTTTTATTTACAGCAAGGGCATTTTCATGATGATCATAAATATTTACTTACGGTTGACATTTTTTCTGTTTTTTTTCTGGTCGTAATACGGTAGTAAGGTTATCTGATTTATTTTTGTCAATTACATATAGGGATTAAATTAACTCAGTAAACCACGCTTTCATTTCTCAGATGAAGCAATAGACCCAACCTTTCCTGTCGGGTTTGTATCCGAACGGCAGTTCGAAGTATGCGCCGAGATGGTCGTTCCAGTAAGAATCGTCCAGGTCCTCGCGGTCCATGAAAAGTTTGACGTCTTCCACGAATCGAAACTTAAACCACTCGGACGACTTGACTCTCCAGCGGAGACTAACAGGACAAACCTGTGGGAGGGGTGGGTTACCATTCATTTCGTCAACCTCCTTGGTTTCGTCTATATTGCCATTTTCCTTACGCTTTCATCAGTGAAAAAAAGAGCGTTTCAATGAATGAATGAATGAATGAATGAATGAATGAATGAATGAATGAATGAATGAATGAATGAATGAATGAATGAATGAAGACATTTATTGTACACACATACCCACTGGGTTAAGTACAGGTCACAAAAAAGGGATGGAATATAGATAACATTACATACATACATCGTCAAGTAGCGCTAGCTACAATCAAGTAAATTCGGTTTCTTCTCGTTTCTTAGTAATTGCAAAAATGTAAGAGCAGATATGTTTCAATACGTTTTAAGGTAGCACATGGCCACTTTGTGACACTGCAATGTTTCAGCTAAAGGCTTATATAAGTAGATGTGTGAACTTACTCCAATGAACCAGTTGGTCTCATGCTATGCTGCCAGCCAATGCCTTAAAGCGTTTCAAAATCGCCATATAGCGATTTTTTCAATGTTCCTTCACCCTTTTAATACTTTTTACTCATGCATTATCTGCAAAGAGGTGTACAATTATGCGCTCACCGATTCCACGTGGTGTTGGTCTCTGGTGTAGGGTATGTCTGAAAGTTGGAACTTTTGCTTGCCGAAAGGCGGTACCAAGTTCTCTAAGATGTCACTCGGCAACGTTATTGATATATTTCCATATCTATCTTCTTCGGTTTCTGATATTTTATCCAAAAACTGCAGAAAATTGATAAATGATAGAAGTTACATATTTCAAATTTTTTTTGGTGGTTATTTTTGTTCTAGTGACAATGAGTTACACAAACATCCAACATGGCAAGAACTGACAAAAATGTCCTAAACTCTTACATTATCAGATTTTAACTCTTTTATTCATCACATTCCAATGATCAGATATTTTGTCAGAAGTTGGCGAGTGGACCTAGGAAAAAATACTAGTATTTCAGGAATGTGTACGCACTGATACTGTATAAAGATTCTCCTGCGAAGATACGGATCCATTTCTTCAAAACATGACCGGACAATCTGCGCCATCTTTGCAACGGTAACTAAATATTCCGCTAGCATTACATCAAACTGCCCACCTGCTTTTCTCTACCCAGGTTCTTGATGTCGTGTTGAACTGAAAAGGCTGTTTCATTGTGTTTCTCTGACCAAGCGTGCAAAAACAACCCACTCGTTTTTCTGAAAAAGTAGAAGTTACTATGATTGCAATAGTTGATGGCATAAGGGATTAGAGCCGGACTGCTATCTACTCGGGCTATGTATTTTGGACAGGTTACAGCCTTTATTTTCATAACAACCACTGCTTCATTAATATTCTGCAAGTACTAGGATGTTAGCCCATACCGTATTTGTCACCAGGATGTTATCTTTTACCGTATTTTTGTCAATGTATAGCCCATTATAGACCTGAAACTTATATATAGGTTTTCTTCTTCCCCCCCGACAACTCTCTTTGGTAATACATACCGAAAGACTGAGAGATCATCGTGCAGTACCGAGAGGAACTTCGTCTTTTAAGCCTACAATGTTCGACATCCTTACCTTTCTATGTCAGTCGCCTTTTTCAGAACTGTCCTGAACCAGTCACTACTGGCCATCTGTGAAAGGAACAGGAAATACGCCAAGCCCAGAATCTGCAGGAAGAGCGCCTGTAAAGTGCAGCACGGCAGCCTTTTACGAGGCATTGTAAGATACTCTCTTACAATGAAAACACGAATTATGAAATGGCTCAATTAGGACACATTTGATACGTGCCGTGTGGGTATGTACATATTTACGGATATTGAAAACAGACCAGGATATACACTAGGGTTTATCGATACAAACCTTGTCTCACCCTACTCTCCTACCCTCCAAGCAAATAACAGCGGATTGCATGTACAAGTGTTATGGAAGATTTTCTTGATTAATATAAACTGAAACTTAATTAGAAATCCAGAGAGTCGCGTTGCATGGCGTAACGGCAGAGTGCTCGTGTTGGAACCAAGAGGTCCCGGGTTCGAGTCCTGACATGTGACCGATCTTGTGCACTTGGGAAAGGTACTTCAGTTATGGAGACAACAAAATTTGCATCAAGACTTTTCTGAATAACAACTGTTCCAAACTGGCATGGTGTTCCAACAGTCTGCTTCTCATTTATCTGATCACGGAAAGATGAAAAACTGTCACAAGTCTGGACAGATTTGATTATAAACATCGGCCCTAGGTTTTAGACATGTGTGTAAATCTTACTCTCCAAGCAGAGGTTGTGGGGGAATGATCGTTACTTTTTATATATGGCCGTTTTTTGTCGCTACCCCCATCGGTGGCTGCCGACCTTCTCTGGCTAATGGATACTGCCTGGCCAATTTGATACTGTCTTTTTACCACCGAAAGGGATCTGCTTGGAGATTATGTAAATCTTATGATCTCCTAAGGTGCAAATCAAGCTTGATACTCATGACAGTCGGTATTGTTTCATACATCAACTACCAAGATTTAATTTACACCTCTAACACAACAGGCTAGTGGGCTTACCACAAGTGTAATCTCTTTGGTACTTGAAATAATCAAGACCATTAACACCATATTTACATACAGACACAGGTAATTGCTAAATTTGTGCATTGTAGCACAATGGATGTACTGGTAACGAACAAATGATAACACTCATCTCATTATACAGTATGATAAGATATCCTATTTCTCAATTTATGCATTCTTCAACTAAGTATCATTAGGATTTACTCTATTTTAGAGAAAACAAATGGTAAATAATCAGAGAAAATGACTAAAAAAAGAGGACAATCTGCACATGAAAATAATCCAGTATAATAATTATCACATAAAAATGCACCAAGATGTACATTGTACATATCCAGCAGCATCTATTCAAGCATTTTGAAAAGTCATACTCTTTGTGAAGTATGTATACAACCAATTCTTACACATTTAAAGAATATTAATATATACTTGCTGCCCAATTAGTTAACTACTTGTTATTGATAGACTTAACTACTATTTTAAAAACTAAGGGAAGAACAATCAATGAATGTGATAAACTAGCAGTTAATACATGAGTTATACATGAGTTTTTATTTTATTGGTTCTGTTACATTTTATAGGGTATCATGTCAAGACATTATAAGGTGTACGACATACAGTAAAAGCAACTGATCTAAGGACTTGTTATCACCGTTGTAAAACTTGTGGGATAGTTAAGATGGTATGTAATGATACTGAGTCTTACCAGGTTGAGTATAAAGGTGGCTTTCAGATTCATCCCACGTAGCTTATTGTGCTGAGCACCTTTGTGATCCCAAATGGTTGCTAGTAACTTGTCTTTCATGAGTGTAACACATTCTATTGGACTGTTCCAACCAAATCAAACTTCATTTGTAACATATTGCGGGAACTGTCTGAAAGCATCTTTGCCAGTTATATTTCTATCTAGGATATAGGCTGCTATAAAAACGATATAGTCATGACGATTAACAGATGATGAAGTCTTTAAAGACCTCAACTGTACACTACATTTATGTTATCACCAGGCATCAGTAGCTGTAATACATTTGTAAGTAAATCAGGACTCTTCAAACTAAATATACAAGACAATTGACAAGAGGTATGGGTAGACATTTCAGGAACATGTACGGGTACATTGTGACTGGTAATCAGGAAATGTTTGTGATTTTTTTTAGGCACATCTGAAGGTTTTCTGGCTACAGACATGTGAAGCACGAGGCCAGGTTCAATATCATGTCAGTTTCTCATCATCTGGTGGGGATTAGGTTGTAATATAAAACCATGTGTGTGACCAACTGGCTCCTTGCATAGGAAGAAGGCTACAACTTCAGATGTACTTGAATCATGCATTTTTATCTGTGCACATTGGAATAGTATGCATCTCACATGACTTTACATATGGTAACAAACATGTGCGTCAGCAGAACATACTGCACCTGCGCGAAATCTGGAGCGTAGTGTGTATAGCACTTCTACAGAATTCATCGCTTGAGGTTGTGTTCGCGTAGTTAAGAATGGTATCCCATCCGGCATCAGTAGTTTTCAAATGTTGTGTCAGAAAAAATATCTCATGCAATGGATAAAATTCTGAGGCGACATTGACCAACCAAACCAACCAACCAACAGAAACCATGGTTTGAGGCAGGCACAGTACGTTCTGCTGACGTGCATTTTTATCGAACACAACCAAACTTTGGCATGGCCTTCAACAACAGCACAGGACTTCAGTAGGACAGTGTGGGGGTTGACATCACGGCATACGGGACCGGCTCATTGTTCATGTGACCCATGGAGTAGAACTGTTCCTGCTCCTGAAGTTGATGCTGAAACTCATCCTCAAGTTTCTGTGGAATTGAAAACAGCATACATCTTTTAGAGAGCTACGTCTTACCTTTGAGTTTGTGCACAAAAAGGTCTTCTTAACAACTTTCAAATACATTTGTTGGTGCATCATTATTAAACCCACACATTACAGAAAAAGTGGATGCTTTCCTCTCACTTCATCGTTCTCACTAGATCTAGAGCCAGGTCTTTGAGACTGGCCATGTTATACATGCATGTATTGTTATTCAATGTTTGTTCGTCCTGCCAATGTGCATTACATGGACAAGCATGTATTGTGAATTCTTCAATGTTTATTGCCATACCAACATTGCAGACAAGACATTAGTATTATTATTGTGAAGATTTATTGACCCCCCTTGCCCAGGTATTCTAGATGGATAACACGCCTACCCACACCCCTCACAAGTACCCCACCCCCTCACACATACCTTTTTGCGAGGCCTCAGTTTCTCCCTCCACTCACGTAGCTCACGCTGGTGCTGCTCGTCAATTTCCTTCAGCTTCTGAGTCTCGTGCTCTATCAGCATGTGCCGCTTCTCATTCTACGTGGAAAATGAGGGTGAATTACTGACAGATGTCCATCACATGCCCTACTAGTGCTAAGGCCACCCATTGATATGAATTGTTTATCTTTTTGTTTACATAAGGAGCTCCGGTGGGCCCCAGTTTGGAAATGTGACCTCAGCATGACATATAACGTTACTAGTAAACTGTCAGACATTTCAGATAGTCAGTGACTGACGAAAGGCAGTGGATGCTACAGAGTACCTAAAACATTTGAACACATTTTCTAGTTGCTTGACTAGTTGCTTGACTGTTATCTTCAAGTTGGTACCTCATCACCTAGATGTCTGCCTTCATTGCGTGTCTACAGATACTGCAAGCTAAAAAGTTGAACCCTGTGCTGCCGGTATATATACATGTATGTGAACTCCTGATATGATATACCTTGGCCTGACCAGACATAGCTTACCTGCATCTGCTGCAGTTCCTGCATAGTGACGTCGTGTCTGGAGCGCAGTTCCTCCAGCTGTTTGCTGTGCTTCTGCTCCTGCCTCTGCTGCTCGGCTTTCATGCGCTTCGTCTCCTGTGTCTGGAACTACAACAACACACACTCGAGCTGACTATCCTGCAGTACTATCATACCGCACCAGGGGGCTTCCAAGGAAGAGAACTTCCTTTCCAAAAAAGGCTTGCATAGCCAGGATTTCTTACCACACAATCATTCTCTATTCAACTGACAATTTCTTTGCAAATCAGCAACATCCACGAATGCAGCCATACTTACAATGTGTATGTCCTGTCAATTTCTTCCTTTCTAGCCCAATAATTTTCCTAGAAACTGTGTCAAAACTTGTACCTATCCAAATAATTGGGCCTGTAGACAACTTTGATTCCGACTCCCAGGCTCCAAATTTCTTTTTCCCAGTCCCTCCTCACATCCACCAACCCTTAAGTATTTACCAGATAATCCAGGTCTTACCTAGTACCTAGAAAATACCTTGAAAGTACCTTGAAACAGAACCTCTTGAAACAGAGCTATGTCACCCTATCACCTCCATTAATTATAAAAGCAATCATCAGAGAGAAAGACACAAATATAATGTGCTTGTGTCTTTTTACCCTTCTACAAAATGCTGTTGGCAATCTAACACAAAGTCTGTTGTCTTAGACACAGTTAAACATGGCTCAAACACACCAACACTACTTTGTACCAGCTTGCTATTCTACCTGTTACAACTGTGCAGAAATCTATCTCATCCTCTCAGGTGGTCAGGCTATACATTACAGATAATATCTTCTTATGGAATTAGAAGAGACACCCTGGTGAAGACTGACAATTTACAATGGGCTACTTCTATCAAAGGACTGATTTTACTGTAGGCATAGACATTGACATACAAGGTTACACCACAGTACTCTGGCTGCAAATCAACTGGAAAAGGAAGAAATGGGAAGAGCAAAAAAAAAAAAAGAAGCTTGCATGCAGTGGAAATTTCTACATGACTTGGGTGGGATCTGTGTTTTGTTGATTATTTAAAGTGAGATATGTGATGGCTGTTTCCGTGGTCCAAGAGTGTAATCGACAGGGGGATTCCTAGAGATGGTGGGGGGAAGAAATGATCCACTGTGCATCCTGCAAGCACCCCTGCTCGGCAGTGGAACAGTCAAAAACTGACAAGAGATGTGGTGAGAGATGAAGCGTACCACTGAAAAACAGGGGTGTCCAATATAAAGTGGTCGAGATAGATGAATGCATATATTACGAGTGTAGGTGCAATATGCTGCAGAACTGTCCAACTGTTGTGCAGCTCCCAGGGTAGTGCACAGTGCAGAAATATCTATGATTTGAGGATGCATTTATGTTACTTGTGCAGGTGCAAAATTGAAGCTGTGCATGTGCAGGTATTTCTGATGTCTATCTTCGTCAGTTTATATATAGGTTTCCACCTGTGAAGTGTAAATTCTAAGAAACAAAGGAAAATGTTCCTGAACAGTTTTTAGCAGAATTTATAATTCCTAAATTCTGAGTGGTGTAAAATTTGTCTGGTGCACCAGTGCTGGCACATGTGTTTTCAGAAAAAAGTACTTCTGTTGGTGTCTTCTTGCACCTGCAGCACACACACAGGTTGTGCACACAGCTCTGTGAGTTCTGGAGTGCTTCACCGTGAGGTTGGACAGTTCTACAGGAGTACCTTACTCCCAGGTGTTAGTGTTAAGATGAGACAGTGTGCCTCCGTCTGGTGGGAGGGCGGCAGTCCGTCCAGTCCCATGCAGTAAGCTGTGGGTGAGTTCACACCGACACTACATCTACCAGCCCAGGCTGCATCCAGTCTACTACATTACCTGATCACCTAGTCACCCATCTAGAAGCTTGCCAAATACATGTATATCGTACCTTGCTGTATCTAAGTCTACAAGAAGCTTTGTTTTCCTCTGGTGCAAGCACAACTATTTGATTGTTTTTAACTTTTTAAACTTTTTAAACATTTTTAACGAGAAATCAAAATGCCAAATTGATAGCATCAATTTTAAGACATTTTTTCAAGGCAAAATCAAAATGCCAAATTGATAGCATTCATTTTAGGACACTTTTTTTTTAAGGCAAAAATTAGAATGCCAAATTGATAGCATTAATTTTACTCAGGACACTTTTTTTTTAAAAAGCAAAAATCAAAATGTCAAATTGATAGTATTTTAGCAGTTGTTTTTTTTCTAAACAGATCATTCTTCTGTTACACTAAATAATCTTGAACAGATGTGTTTTGCAAAGTCTTTCATCGGTTGATTTTTGCATGATGGGAAAAGCGTGGCTATGCCATAGACTGGAAGCAGAGCGGGCAGCGCTAACCAAGCTAGCATCTAACCTGCTTCATCAACTGTTTTTCCTCCTGATTGACTATGCCACCAACTCCTCGCAAGCTCCTCTTGAACACAGAGTCCTGTGGGTTCTGAGGGTATAGTTATGCTACATGTCAGCAGGCAGGTGAAGCTGGCAATGGGTAAAAGAAAAAGGCAAAAGACTAGAGGAGAGCTACTGGTTTGCATGCTACAGTAAAGCGGCTACTGTCACTTTTATAAGCTTCAGTTGGTTTTTATCTAGAAAGATTATAGTTGAGGATTTTGCTGTTATGAGTGCACATGTTTTAACTGCTAATGCAAACTTTCTTGAAGACTGGAAGTTTAAGTGTTTGTGTCATCGTAGAAGTCTAGAAAGGAGCTGTTAAGATGCTGTAAAAAAAGCTTTTCTACCCAGAATTTTATTTCAGGAGTTTTGTGTTCTATTAGTGAATCACAGAGTGAACATGCAAACCACTAGTACTAACTGCGACCTGTTACACAAAAAAACATGGCTTGGGGAAACACTGCATAGTTTTACCACATATATACAGTTATACACATACACACACACATTGTACATATATACACAACATACTCAGCCTGCCTGCTGTGTACCTGTTTGAGTTTCTCCTTGTCCTGTTGCGGCGTGCTCATGCTGCTGATACGCAGGCTCTTTTTGAACATCTGCTCTCGGACTTTCCCCTCGCTTCGCTGGATCTTGGGCAGACGTCTCTTCTCGCTGGTGTGTCGCCTGACCAGCTCATCCTGTTCCCGATTATTTATTCTGTTCACCTGCTCTATTTCCTATAGTAAAGCAGAAAAATAACTATCAGAAGAGCAATTAGAAAATTAAAAAGTTTGTTTTGCATTCCTAGCTGGAAAACACGCAACACTTTAGTTTTCTTATTAGTCACAAACATTTTTTTTTAAAAACATGTTCAAGCAAGTTCTCAGTATCATCAATACTGCTTCAGAACATGCAATTCATCTTACTACAAATAGAAAATGGCCATAAAGAAATGTTGATAAAATAGATACTGATTTTACGCAAACTTTCTTTCCCAATGGGTACTTTGAATTGAAACTCGTGATTGAGAAAATAATGCAAGTCCTCATTCTACAGGCTAAGACTCTGCCAGTCCCTGACTGTCCACTGTAAGTTGATATAAGTGCCCAGTGCTGTCACCTTCTCATGCCTCTTCAGTAGCTGCTGTCTCTGGAGGAAGAACTGGTCCTTCTGGTGCTGTTTGGTCTCCTGGTGTCTCTCATGGAGGTGTTTCTCCTCAAGTTCCCACACAGACGCCTCACGAGCTGGATGAACAAGAGACACCATTGCAAGTGGGCCAGTCATGTGGCACACAGTGCCATTTTACATTTTCCCAATCTGCTAGCATTATAACTCATCTAGGGCTTCAACTTATTCTAGCTGGCTCCCTGTCAAATTCTGACATTTGAAGGTCCACAACATTTCCTGAGTCTGACATTTTGACCTCCTGTCATTCAGAAAGGGTTTGCACCCTAAGGGGTACTCAAAGTAGCAGATGGATACATGATAACTTGAGGTCTAAGGTAGGGTTTGTTTACTGTTGCCAGCTGCTCTCTGAGAGTTTGTGCTGGTCAACCCTGATTTCTTTGTATATTCGGAAATGGGAGTGATGGAGAGTAGTTTTGGAGAATGATGGTGTTATCTGCCCAGTACACATCTGGACTGTACTCACCCCTGAGCAGCTGCTGTTTGTGCTGCAGGAACTCCCTCTCCACCTTGGCCAGCTCCAGCCTGTGCTGGTCCGTCATCTTCCTCAGGGCAAGCTCCAGGGCCTGGTTCTGACGAGACACAAAGTCCTGCTCCTGTACACACAAAAAAACTTGGCTTAAGAATGGCACAGCTACATTTGTTGTAGTTCGTTGTATAATTTTGATGTCTGGCTGTGAATCAACAACCAAAAAGGATCTAAGAGAGACTTTTCTGTAACAAGACAACTGAATTTTGCATTAGACATGTATGGCTTTCCTGAATGATGCATTCAGTTTGCAATCATATTATGATCGTGTGTCATACGTAACTTGCCCCTTTCCTTAACGGGGCAGGTTTGTTTAACATGTGACCTGGTAGAACTAAACATTGTTACCTTTTGTTGCTGTTTTATTTCTAGCTCCTCCTTCCTCCTCCTCATGGCGTCCTTGCGTTCAGACTTGGGCAGACGCTCAACATCCAGCTTCATCTCCTTCTGTTCCAGCTTCAGCTCTTCACGGAACTTCCTCAACTCCTTCTCCTATGGTAGGAACACATTGTTCAGTCACTTGAAGTTAGCAGTATTTACCAGTATTATATTTAGGCCTAGGAAAACAAATGTAGTGTTTCCAATTTTAGTCCTAAAGAAATAGGGTTGCTACATGTAGGTAGGGATTTTTCTTTTTCTTTTTGGATAACAAATAGAGTTTAACAATATAAAACTGAAATACATCATGACCAGGACTGTAAAAAAAACAGCCTCCATTTACTTGTGGGGAAGGGACAAATATTTTGACCAGTTACTTAATAAAAACATTTCAGGGGGGTTGAAATTCAGACATAACATCAGAATTTTTATGGCCTTACCACTAGTTGATCCCCAGAAGTGGCTAGGGTCTTAGGCCATAGACACTAGGGTCTTGACTCTGGGGCTATAATCTGGATCATATTTGAAAACTTACGGAAAATCACCACCATCTTACCTGCTCCTGGCGTATTCTCTTGGTGGCCAGTCGGACATCGGTTGTCTGTGACTCTTCCAGCTTCTCCACGTGCTGTTTCTGCTGCTTGGTCAGGGTGTCCAGCTCTGTGTCGTAACGCCGGGTCAGGTTCTGAGAGAGAGTTACATGTATAACATCTGTTAATGTAACATAAACACATGCAACTTACAATGCACACAGTTTATGTACATGTATGGGCAAAAATCTTCTTGTCCAGGCATTTGATTTTAATGGTTAACATTTCCAAACCAAACATCTTTGATTCCTATGTGAAATTTTAATTTAAGTTTGTATGATAGGAAAAAGCAATCATGGAAGTCCACCTGTGTTGGTAGTGATCATGTTGAACTTTATTCCAACACAAAGGGTACACAAATTTTCAACCACCACTGTCGTCTTCATCAGGATAAATAACAACCAATCACTTCCAAACATAAACCTGCAAGAGTTACTACAAACTGTACAAAGGAGTACTTTGGGGTGCAAAAATGCACACGAACTGGAACTGGCAGTGCGAGGGTAGAAGTCGTCAGACTTACCGTCATCTCCTGTTCGAATCTTTTCTCGGTGTTGTCGACCTGCTGTCGGATTTTGATGTGCAGCTCCTGCTGACTGCGCTGCTCCTGACGCTGCATCAACTTCAACTCACGCAGGTCCTGCTTCCTGGGGGGAGGAAAGGAAGGGTCTCAGTGTCATCTTAAAGCACCAGAGACTCTAAGACATGAACCACATGCAACGATACACATGTCTTATTACTATGTAATAATTACATGTAATTTTATGCTAGTTGTATGTAGCAATCCTATGTCTTTTATGTACTTCTGTTTTCTCCTGGAAGACTAGCTGTCACTTACATTTGTAGTCACTGACTGTCATACTGGTTGTCATGTAGATGATTACTCTTGGGTACTATGGAAATATTGTTATGGGCGGGGTTGTGAGTTGGGAGGGGTTGTGGGTTTCTGAGTTGTCTGCCTGTCCTAATTGCTTTGGTTGCATAGTGGGTGGGAGGTGATTACATGATACATGATTTAAAGAGAGGTCAAGCCTGAAGGTTTGGTTATGCACAAGAAACCATACAAGTCCCTTGACAATTCCAAGAGAATATATAAAAACAAAACACTTCCTGGAAGTCTTGAAAACCCCAAAAGTCTGATACATGTATCTTTCAACTGGATTTTAAGATCTGTTCGTTTTTGTTTAAGTCTAAAAAGTTGTAACTTATAGCATTGGACAGTGAGAAAACACTCACCTCAGTAACTGCTCCACTTTCTTGTCCTTGTCATCATCGTACACCTCCTTGACCTGAGTCTGGGTCACCACGCGCCCGTCAATCTCGATCTTACGTGTCTTCTTGATGGTTTTCTTCCTCCTGCTCTTCTCTTCCAGATCCTGGTCAGGAAAAACAACTTTATGTCATCTTCTGGCCTTTCTTGTGGGAATTAATGTCCTTGACCAATAACTGGATAAATACCAATTTAACCGCTCAATTGTTAATTGTGTGTATATTTTGTGAACATGGACCAGTTAGCTCTAGCCAAACACAATGTCTACACTGAGAAAAATGGTGACATTAATAAGGTGAAGAGAAGACTGTTGCATGCAGAAGTACAGGTAAACAAATTTGTCCTTTTGCATCTATAACCTGGTGCTAAATTGGATGCCCTAATTCACATTACACTTCCATCCTCCCACAGAGTTTTTCACTCACCAGTCCGTCTGACCCTTTTCTTTTCTTTGATGGCTCGACTTTGGCTTCAGGAACCTCGTTATCCATGGTGTGAATGCTGCCACTGTCAGCTGAGTTCTCTGACTTGGCGTCCCCGGAGCCCTGTCTTCTGTGCCTGGTGGGTACCTCTTGTGGCTCCAGTACTCCTGACAAGGGCAGAGGCACACTGTGGGGAGAATCCTGGGACTCCCCTTGATCATTCCCTAGCCGCTGAACTTTCTCATCAGGAAATATCACAACTATCTCTGCTGAAGCACTTTCCTCAACGTCATCCTCGAAATGTTCAGTTCTGGACTGACTGTCTTTGGTTTCGGAACGATCGTTTTCAACACTGGGTGGCTTTGGTAAGGCATCTTCCTCAAGGACACCGACAGTTACTGAATCTTTTTCGCTCTCTGGTTCTGCAGCCCTTTCTCCAATGTCCTCCCTAACCTCGGCTTCGTTCCCCTCTTGCTTCTGTGTCTCTGTGTGTACAATTTCCAGCAGTCCATTCACAATGTCCATTGCCACACTCGCCGAACTGTCTTTCAGTTCGTCTACGTCGGAATATTCTGGCGAGAAATCTATAGTTTGCTCATCGATGGATTCCTTGCTCGGCGAGCCAGGTGCCTTGCTTTCATCGCGGAATGCTTCAGGTGGTGCCAGAACGGCGTCGGAAGATTCTGACCCTTCTCGTTCCTCTACAAGCGTCTCGTTCACGCTCGGTAGCGCTATCTCTGAACCGATATCAGGCAGTTTCTCGGTGCTGCCGTTGGTCCCAATGCCTTCATCTGAAGACTTGTCTTCGTCCGCCTGCTTCACGACCTCCTGTACAGGAGGAGGGGGGCGGGGGCCTTTCTCTTGACCGGCCCTGGCTCCTCTGTGATCTCTTCAAGTGGCTTCTCTGTAGCTCCCACTGCCGCTTCATCCGAGTTCTTGCTATCCGTGCTCTGGAGACTCTCGCGACTCTTGTTTAAGTCTCGTGGCTAGAGAAGGAAACAGGCACTGTTAGACATTGCTCCAGATAATGCAACACCATCTAAGCATGCTACGGCAGGGGAATGGATTGTTGACATCTGTAAGTTAGAACCTATTCTTTTAACTATTCTTGGGGTCATTTCGATTTTATTTGAACAAGCCAAGCGTTATAATAATGACAATGAACTCAATAAATACTAAAATAGCTTCCCATTCTGCATTTCTTATTTTGAAAACCTGTCTTAATCTACTTTCAGTTTCTCAAGTAATTTTCATTCCTCTTTGAAATTTTACAGCACAATGATCAAGTTACCGTTGTTGGTTCCTCTTCCTCTTCATCATTCTCTCCCTCTACTACTTCCTCCACCACCTCTGCCTTCGCCTCCGCCACCAGGTCACGGATAGGCTTCTTCTCTTCTGCCGTCCTCACGAATGGATGCTGTAGGAAAACATCACATTACAATCAATACCAACAAAAGAGACTTCTTTCTTCATCAATCACCGGTGACTTACTCACTGCTCAATACAACTAAGAGGACAGAACTAAACCACAACAAAAAGAGGCATTCATCAGTTTCCAATTTTCTGGAAGATGGGTATTGTAGATAGCATTTGCCTATCTTTGTGTAAAAAAAGGGAAATTTCCCCCTTAAAAGTAAAATAGTAAATGATTAAACTTTTTTCCAAATTTTACACATCAAAAAGCTTGGCTTCTTCCAGCTGGCAGGCTATTTTCCCTACCTTGAGTAACTCTAGCAGACAGCCTTCCTTAAGGGATCTTGTGCACAATGCTTAATGCTTGTGGCCTGTGACGGGAAAATTTGGGCTGGAAAAGAATGGTCATCTTTGGCTGATGGTCATTTTCTGGAAGTTTGACTGTACATCAAACAGGTACGATGGCCAACTGGGTGGAGTGTTTGTTTTGCATTTGGTATGTCATGAGTTTGATCCAAGTCATACCAAAAGCTGAAGTAAGTAATTTTTCCTACCGTGAGCAACTCTCTAGCAGACGGCCTTCCTTCAGGGATCTTCTGCAGGCACTGTTTGAGGAAGTCGGCGAACTCTCGTGACCAGCGGCCCGGATCCTCCAGCTGCGGAGGCTCCGACTTGGAGATCTTGATGAGGACCCTCATGGGGTGCATCTCGTGGTTGGGCGGCTCCATCTGGGCAAACTCGATCAGCGTGATGCCGAGGGACCAGATGTCAGCCTTACAGTCGTACGGGGTGTCCTTCACTGTCTCACACAACACCACCTCTGGGGCCATCCTACACAGGAAAATGGTTTTAAGAATCTTCAAGATAATGAAAAAACATAATTTAATAAACCTTTAGGTAAGAAGAATCTGTCTATTATACTGTTGTAAATGAATTTGATTCAACAGTGGCAATATAAATTCAAATTTGCGGTTTAAACAATCCTGTAGTACAGTAGTCATACAAGAAAGCCATATTTGTGGTGACATGAATTTGTGGTGAAGAGGTTACCGCAAAAAAAACTGTCATGTAGGCATAAGAAGTGCTAAGAAGTTGTGAAAAGTGAAAAAGGGCCAAATTATCTCTTCCAATGGTGTACCATTATACTGACCAGTAGGGGGTTCCAATAAAGGTGTCTCTCTTCTGTCTTGTGTTGCTGTTCTTTGCAGACACTCCAAAGTCAGCTGGAACAAAATATCACATTGTTAAGGTTTTTTCATAGTATGAAAGTTCATCTGTGTTGGTACAAGTCTTTATTTCATAAGGTTTTTTCATGTTCTTAACTTTATTTCCATCTTTTACACACTACCATAGGATGATTTCTTTTCAAGATGAAAGGTTCAATAAGGTTTGTATCAAAACTAACAAATCAAGAAGAAATTGTACCAAGCCAATTTTCATATTTCCTTCAGACACGAGCAGTACATTGATCAGTTTTAAGTCCCTACATATCTTGTTAAAACTACCTAACCAGCCAACAAAGCCATAACAACCTAACTTGGCAGATAACTAACAGCACCTACCCAGTTTGATATCTCCCTCAGGTGTGAGTAGTACGTTGCCAGCCTTCAGGTCCCTGTGGATGATGTGGTGAGTGTGCAGGTAGTCCAGCGCCTCCAGCATCTGTCTGCAGATCACACGGATCTGAGGCTCCGTCAGGGGGTGGTCCAACTCTGGGGGAGGGGAGAAAACGGATCAATTCAACCAACAGATGCAGCTACAACAATCCTTGAATGTTTTAGTAGCTGTAGACAAAGATGACTCCTTTGTCAAGCACAAAGTTCTCTTGAGATTGTAAACTTTTAGCATGTAAACCAGTAATGGACTGCTGAACTTTCATTCATGGAGAGGCACTGTAGTGTTTTAAAAGCAGAGTTCTGAAGATCGCTATTCCCTCCACAAAACAAAGCATTTAAAACCACAGAATCTTTCTAATTCAACTGTAAATACGCTTCAACTTTCCTCCCACACCCTTGGCTTTACAGGAGCCTAAGAAACGTAAATCAAGATTTACGAAGAGCTTCTTACCTAGCATGATGTCGTCTAAGGCACCGCCTGCACAGAACTCGATCATCATCTGTAGAGAAAAGAATAAATATCCCAGACATGAGTCAGACTACTGAAACGTTCTCAATACTAATCATATTGTCGTAAGATGTTTCAGTCACACAGACTGCAGATAATGACGTTACAGCCAATTAGGGTTTAATAGAGTGTTTCTGGAAGTATTTTGCAAGGATGCTTCGGAGAGCACAGTTCATAGGGTGACGATTTCTTTGAGTATGAGAAATATTGATTATAAATTATGGATGGCTGCAACTGTTGCATAGGACAAAGGTCATGCAAATATAATTCAGGAAGTAGATGTTTTTTAAAACTGACATGTAATAAAGCTCAGTTGTATGGAACTTCAGTTTTTGGACTTTATAATCAAAACACTGTGAATATGTGTTTTTGTTAGTCTATGGTATAACAGGATTGTTTCAAATGCAAACATCAAACAACAGGAAGCAAAACCACTGTGAAAGTTTCTGCATTTGCAGCAATATATGTAAACAGATCAGCAAGTTAGCAGAACGAAACCCTGATTTTTCATTGCTTTCATTGGATGTTTGGTCAACATTGCATCAGAATTTTTGCCTGTTGCAGACGACATCTTTTCTGACATAACATTTGAAAACTACAGACGGGATGTTAACCTTATATGAGCAAATACGACCTTCATATGAGACGTTCTGCCAAAGTGCTATGCACAATACATTACGGGTTTCACACAGGTGCAGTACGTTCTGCCGAGGTGCTAAACAGATCCTAGAAGCCTGTCGTACCCATAGTTTCCCATCGTGGAAGTATGCGTCATCCAAAGCGACCACGTGGCGATGGCTGCACTCCGACAAGATGTCGATCTCCACGGTATAATCCTCCAACTCCTCCTCATTCTTGATTTCTATGATCTTGGCTGCAGCCAGGTTTCCATTCTCCTTGTGTTTCACCTGTAGAAAAGAAGGACCTATGGTCAGACTTTACCACCCTTTTCCACTAGATAGCATTTACTGTCCGTCCGTTGAGCTACCGAAATTGGACTTGTGTGACCCTTCATGATTGGGATTTGTAAAAGTATGATACAATGCATAAGGATGATCCAGAAGACTAAAAAATAACAAACATTGAAAAAATGTCATCTACTTCTAGGAAACTTCTGGAAACCTGTCAAATATTTGACCACTCAGCAGTTGAATGTTGAAAATGAAAGGGGGTGTTAACAGAAGTGTTCTGTTGTGCTTATTGTTTTCACCATTTCCAACAACTCAACAAACAACATACATATCTCTAGTGAATCATTAATTTAAAACCCAGATTGGAAAGCAGCAATAACCTAAGGACAGCTTGTGCATAAACAATGCACGACTATCCAGGTGAAACACTACCCTGGAACTGTATGTCTGGTCTGACCTGGTTTTACTGACCACAGACCTCCCCAGCATATGTGGACTTACCAGTTCAATAGAGTGTGAAATGGAACAATCCACATGTTATTGCAATTCAAAGCTATGATTATGTAAATTCAAGTAAGGTATGATTATGCCTATTATACAGTGGCCAATTTGTTCGATATATTTCCACACATAACAGTGCTACAATACTGGATATTAGTATCTTGCAAATAACACTTCTTTCACACACTGTGACAGTTTCAGTAAAATTTCTAGGAAAACATGAAACAACTTGTAACATGACAGGCAGTAAAATTCCCACGATCAATCAGATAACACTTCAACTTATGTCAGAGCTTTCAACTTTTCATCCTGTAAACATCCAAAGGTCTCCATGTACTTTCAACTTTTGCCCTTGCTGGTAGAACTTTGCCTTAATTGCACGCTTTAGCTGACGAGTCGTGATATAAAACAGCTATGATACAAAAGTCAAAATAACAATGTGTCAACATCACTAGAAGCCCTTATTTTCAACTAAATATTGTTTTTTCAAATTATAATTTCCCAGTCAGAAATAATGTACAAATCCATATATAAGTCCCCTATGGTGAATCTGAACCAAAACATTAGTACAGTTACAGTTATGTACAAAAACATCTTTTGCATAAATACATGGAGAAACAAGCTGTTCCCTCAAAGTTAATTGTAATACAATGGCCGTCATGGGCCCTTATTGAGGAAAAGGAGAATCTGAATGGCTACATTCCCTGGAGATCTTTGATAGAGTCTATAGGCTATAGCCCATATTGTTGTTTCCAACAGAATTTTCCTCAATATTCTAAAACCCTACCACATAACAAACCACTGTTCCAATCTTCAATGTTCAAGACTGACAAAAGAGTTTTGACATATGATATGGCTATATCTGGAGTAGACTGGGCAAACAAGCAATATTTATTAGTCATCTCCTGCAAATACATTCTCTGTGTAGATTCATTGTACCATTATTTATGTCCTACCTGGGCCGCGATTACGTTCGATACGGGTGTTCCGGCCCGTGTGATAACTAGCGGTACGGCCCGGGGGTTCTTAACGCGTACGGCCCGGGGCTTCCAAATGTTCCATAGAAAGATTCGAACGCGTTTCGCCCTAACCGCGTGCAACGCTTCCGAAAATTCGAATGCAAAATTCGGACGTTGGAAGTGATGTTGTTGCGTTTTTTGGGATTAGTGATACCAAATTTTTGCTCATTTCGCATTGAAAGGCCCGTTTTCGTGGGTGGGTATGACATAAATAAAATACAACACAGTGTATTCCGCATCACCCTCGGTCCCAGCCCTCCCGCGGATCGGATCTCCCTCCGGCCTTCGGCCGTCGGGCGATCCGACCCGCGGTCGGGCTGGTACCTCGGGCGATACGGAATACACCGTGTTGTATTCTATATTTATAGGCCTAAATACTAGTAATCTAACACAATGTCCAGAAGACATGACCCCTCGAGCTCCCTCCCATTTTTATGTACAATCCTGCCCTTTAATGGCCACAAGTTGATGGTAACACCGCCCAACAACTGGACAAACACCCAAATCAGGCAGTCTCAAAAAGCTGTGGATGGAAACTATGTCAACAACAATTTCAAGTCCAAAGGTGGATTTCCGCATACTTTCCCAAAACCTTACCCTCCCGAGCTACTTCAGGGCTCGTTCATCTGAAACAAAGCTAGTGCTTCTTCCTTTAAAGTAAGGATTATTAAGCATCGTAACAAAAATACTGGCAAATGCACTGTTTTTCTACATGAGTGCAGCCAGCACATAGTTAATCATTGACAGTGTGCACAGGTTAAATTGCCCCCAGCCAAAGTGTGCCAAAGAAAGGAAGAAGTGACCCGCCCAAAAGGATAACAATCGAACAGACAAGCAAACAGGTCCACCTAGGCAAGTATGAAGGCATTAGATGCCAGTGTTCTATACTGGGAGTGATGCCAACAACAATGAATGGTCATGATATGCAACTCAAACAATTTTAAACACCTACTGGACATGACTACAGCAACTTTACCTTAGCACAGATGGCTATGGTAATATTTGAATTCATGTAGAATTTGGTAGCGGGATACTATATTATTGGACAACCTGGTTCTCTTGTTTCAAATGTGTTAAGATGGATAAATCAATTTCTAGTGAGAAAGTTGTCAAAACAACCTTCAAAGAGTAAAAATAATATATTTATACAATGTTGAAAGTAACAAATTGTAGCAGTACTAAAAACATTGTTGGAAAGGGAAAAATAATGGTAAAATTCACTGTAATTTGATAAGTTGAAAAGTTGGCATAGAAATAAAGAGCATATGATATGTTCTGAGAAATTTGTCAGAACATTTTCAATAGCCACTTACATCCCAATTCTTCCTGACTTTACAGTCTATCTCATACAGTCTACTACTAGGACTTCAATAATACTTTCTCTTCCCATAGCTTACCCCTCACTGCAATCAATTACAATTAGGGTATTGAAGTGCAGAACAATAGCATTAGCATACTGGCTATTCATAGCACTAACAATAGAACCAGTAATCAAGGGAAAACACCACACACCCTAAACAGTACACCTGTTTCAACCTCTTAGCTGTAATAGCTCAGGCATTGTGATTTCAATTTTAGACCCTAAATCCTCATTTGCATTGCCAAAATTGTATTTGTATTAGATTTCCTCCTTCCGATGTGGACAATAGTAACCACTCTAAATGGCTGACTTGATTTTGTTGAAAAAAAAAATCTTTTATGCAATCACAATTTTGTAAGCTAAAAAGGATGCAGTTGTTTCCTATACAAGAGTCAACACTTTCACAACCCAATATAAATGTTGGTATTATTGTAGCTACGTTCCCCTTAAATCTGTCACATATTTATGAAATGCCCCATGCTTACACGATAGGACTGTAATCAAGGGGGGACAAATCATCAATTCTGCCAGACGGACATCCATTAGGCTTGGTAATGGGATTGCGACAGGGTGTGAACACCCTGAACAATCGGCCCAGATCGGAAGTGCTGCTGCATATTCAGAGAGCCAGTGTTAGGAACAGAACAGGAGCCCATTCTGTTACATGGAATATTTCTAGTGAATTCAGTCCTGGAATTTACCTTGATACCGTCTTCGGGATGATGAGGTATCAAAACATATAAATGTCACAAATGGACCCAAAAATTTCTAGTCATACCTCATGTGAAAGACAGCTAAAGAAATAGAACCCTCACCTGTTCTAATGGTGAGAACATTGTGTTTGCTTTCACATGTCTATATTTAGATTGTGTACTGTGTAGTGTTACATGTACAGATGGTAACACCTGCCATGGTAAGACTGGACATTTTGTTTACTGCCACACTCTTACCCACCACTTCACAACTGGCAATACGGTACAATTTCGGATTATTACAGTAAGTCCTCTCAAAGGGTAAATCCCTTTCAAGGATGTTATGGTTCAAAATTGATATACAGGAACATAAGGATATGGTTCTGTAATATTGTCAAAACATAAAAAGTTCGCGGTGAAATCAATGAAAAAGGTCTGCTCCGTAAATTTCCATGAGTTACACATCTTAATGAGTCAATGAGTTCAGCGAATAAACGTTAGTTTTAGACGGTTTCAATCGAACAAAAGAGAAGGAAGTAACAGAGGTGGGGAGGGGGGCTGGCGGATAACCGGATTACTCAGTCAAGTATAACGGGACGGCCCACTTCATAACTACCAGCCATACGGACCGAGCACTGTCAAGAACAGCTGTGTGTTATGGTTTTATAAAGGTCCTGTTAGAATCAGTCATAACCAACGATCCATATGAATAGGTACTACTGTACTAACTAAATCGCCCACCCTAACCACAGGCATGTGTGGCGGTGCCTACCTTGTACACTTTGCCGAATGCCCCGTCCCCGAGCTCCCCGATCGTCTCCCACACCGCGTTCGGGTCCACGTCCCGTCTGATATGCTGGTAATACTTGGGTTTCTTCCGCTCCTGCCTGATGCTGAAGATCTTCTTGAAATCCAGGAGCGGCATGTTGTAACAGTTTCACTTTGCTGTGGGAAGAAACTTGCAACTATCTGTGAGCCAACTCCAAAGTCAACAAATTGATGACGCAGTTTGGAACACTACGAGCCTCAAATTTGGTAGATAATGCCCCAGTCAAAGAGAAAACGTATGGGATCAAGGTCCCACAGTTACATCAACTTCAAGCAGGCCTCAGACGGCGATTGGGACAAAGAAAACCCGCAGTCAACCGAAGTTCCCAGCACAGTGATCCTCCATTTTGAAAATACTACCACACCTCAGGAGTGACGTCATATTCCAACCCATAATAGTCTTCCGACACGTGACATCGAGAAGGAATTTTTTGGCCACGCCTCAGTCGTGGGTCCAAACCAACCTCAGCATAACAAGTTGTTTACATACTAATAAATCCCAAGTTGTAACGATGATGCGTTTTCCTGTTTCATTAGGCTTAGGTGGATTAATGCGCCACCTTGGATTGACTTCTTTGGTTAAACTTATTAAATTGGTTACACTACAAAGTGAGACCAGCCATGATGTTGTGTCTTTGATATTGTATAATGAATTGTTATGTTTTGCTATTTTGATATTCGTAACTTGTTGTTAGGTCCTGTATATTGTATTGACTTGTCCTGTGTTGTGTTGTATGTACCAGTGGCAGCCGCCACCAGCCTTTGGCTGCCTGGCTCCCACTTGTAATGCGTTGTTTGGCATCACCAATAAATGAAATGAATGAAATGAAATATCAGAGTTCTGGAATTTTTAAGAACAAGACAGTACTCCTTTTTTTCATGTATATATTCTTTACAGCTGGGCAAGCCAGGCTAATGATTGGAGCACAGTGTTAGTAATTTAACGCATCATCATAATACATGTTTCTGTTGTCCATTGAATTTTCCAAGGCATCTAGCCTATTAGCTCTTTGTCCAGTGCTCAGCAGATTAGAGAGCCGCCACATCAAGATGCCGGCGACAAGCGAGGTTTAGTCAGGCTACCAGCCTATAAAGCACAAAAAAGTGAACACAGCCAGTGAAACACTTGGTATCAAATTACATGAGTGATAAAATTTTGACAACATGGAGTTAGAAACAAGTGGAACTCTGACTTTGTGGATGTAAAGCAGATTTTATTCTTAAAGTTGTTTTGTAAAGCTATCACAGTTGACGGTAGTAGAATAACTTGTTATTCACACAAAAGTTTGATTCCATACAAGATTTTAGCAAACACAACAAACTAATGCACCCTACATCTATGTACATTGTACACAATTGTTTCCAACAAAATCTCTATATACAGTTTAAGCTGTGAATGATACAGAAATGTTACAAATCATGGTGCTTATAACACAGGAAAAGTACATTGCTTAAAAAAGTTACACATAGATGGTATCTAAATAAATCTGCTATGCAGACATGATGTAGAAGGATTTCCAATCTGTGGTTTCCACATACTAAAATTCAGTTAGTATATCTTAAGCGACATTTGATGCAAGTACAGTATCCAGTTTGTGAAGGGGGTAATTGACCCCCCGCATTAATTAACAAACCTCATACAATTAAACTTCAGACATTGACATTGTACATGAATTTGCTTCGTTGCGCAGAAGACTGTACAGTTAAGTGTCAGTCATTAGTTGGCCTGGAATGTCAAGAGAATACCTACAAGGTCATTTACAACAGTTTAAAGAACAATTTCTTACTAGATAGTAGTGCTGCAAGTTGACATTGACCACCACCCAAAGTAATATTTTTTCACAGAATGTTTCAGTGTTTTAAGCGACATCTTTACTTCATCAAAAATAGCATTGAATCTCAGAAGGACACCACCTAGGGTGGTGATACACACATGTATGTTTTCATTTCCAGACCATTTGAGTAGAAGAAAAAGGGAAAATGAGCCTTGCAGCTTTCAACAGGAAGTAAAGGGTAAAGAGTATATCATTCATGATTGATACAATGCTTCCAAAATGACACTGTTGACAGTCCATATTTTTCAAGTTTTAAAAAGTAAATGAAAGAAAAAAAAAGCTACATATTTACATCATTGAGGTCCCGACTGTTGCTTTCTAACCTTTAGCACTCCTTGTAACACACCAAAATACAATGTAATATTGGTACACCTGTACATTGGTGAAGTAGACTGCAAAATGTCTCTAGCATTCAGCACTGTAACTTACTTCAAGCTCACAACTTACAAACATGTGCAAAATACTGTATTAGCATTAATATGTTAACATGCGTTGCAATAAGCACAACTGCTAGTCCCAGAGCACTAAAGGTTAAGCTTCTTCCTATTTGCTAAACCACCAGTACAACAAAGAGGTTTTACGCAAGTTTGATCTACACAGAGTTACAGTGTGAAGATGTGAATTACGAATACAATACAAACTTTCATATTGAACAAGAACATGAGTAAGATTCTCCTCAATATCGAAGATTTGCGTAATTAATGGTAATTTGCATCAATAAAGTTTCTTATTAATTCACATTTTTAGGCCCTGTATGTAATTACATTGTGCTATGAATGTGATCACGTATACAGTGAAGGGCATCTTTGCTGTAACTGCATGTTCTAATGGACCAAAGTAAAATATTAAAAGTTAAAAAAAAATTGTACAAAAATGTGGGGGGGGGGAGCATGAAGGGAGAGCAACATTGTTGGTATGAGAGATGGCAAATATCAACATAAACACGATAAACGCAGCAGACATGATGAAATTGTTTTAAGCCACACAAAGAACATGTAAGACTAAGAGATTCGTAACACAGATAGCAAGACTACAGAGATGTAACAAGAATATTGCACTAGGGAAACTCACTTCCTAGCTTATATCTACTGTACAATTGTTACGGCACAGTGAAAAAACAAACGAATACACCTGCCTACAAATGTACAGATGAATTTTACTTTTATACAAGTAGTATGCATGAAAATAAAGTCTAGATGACAGGAGTTAAGCACTTTTTGGGAACTCCTAAAAGCATGCTGCTGTCATTTTCAGTGCATCAAATTCAAAGCTTTGAATCGAGTACCAAGTCAATAAACAGGTATTGTGATAATGATATGACTGTGCTACCTAAAACGTAAGGCATGTATATCTTTTAGCAGTGCTTTTTAGTAAACAAGGTTACTACACTTCTATAGTCTTCCATCAGATTCAGAAAAGCAGGTTATTCCGTTTCATTTCTTGCATTAAAGGTAATTTACTTGAAGTGACAAATATTTACAGTCATTGCATACGTTACAATGCAAAATATTCAATAGAACTTTTTATGAATCGAAACATAAGTTTTCTAGCTAACTTCTTTCTACAAGTTGCTGGAGATAATCTTGAAAACAACCACAAAGGCCAGAGGAGGTTAAGATTATGCAAAAATCTCTATGCCAGATATTTCTACAATGGACATATTGGAGATTTAATAATTGATCTACAAAATGTAGAGACACTTTAGATGAAGCAAAATCACAGATCTCTTAATTTCTAGATTTAAAAAAAAGTAGTGCATGAGCATGGTATCTGTGGCCCCAGCATTGTAAGTCCTTTAATACTTCTGTTTTGTGTATTTCAATGCTTTCAGTATTGAATTTCTTCCAAAATTGGCAACATAAAATCTATAGGAATTAAAGTAATACACTACAGAAGCTATATAAGATATCTTAAACTTTGGAAATGAAAAAAAAACACACACACACAAAATAAAACAAAGCATTAAACTCTGTGAATGTGGCACTTGGTATTGCATGGTAACAAAAACAGGGAACAAGTTTAGGGAAGCTACCTTTGCTACTGTATCAGGTGAAAATATATGACAAAAGTTGAGGTCATCTAATCTGCGATTTTTTGAAAAAATTATTCAAGTAAGTTCAGTTTTGACTTCTGAATCTGATACACTCTAGTAGCTTGGAGCAACATCTTTGTACAGCATACTACTTGTCTGGAAAAGTAAAGTAAACTGAAAACACTTCCTTCTAAAACACTAACATTAGCGACCAAGTTGGCATGAGATGTGAGGCGACCTTACCTAATTACCATGGCCTTATATGCTTATGGGCACAGTGAGCCTCTGCTTACGTCATACTTGTGCTATGGTGCCTTGAGAGTTTTAGCTTTTTAAAGGGTATGTACACAAACCATCCAGAAGTTCTGTCACTGTTGCTTAGTTTGTTACAGAAGTGTCCCCTTACATTGGCATTTTGCAGCAAGATTTACATATGTACAGAACAACACAGTGATGAACAGAGAGTCACAAGACAAGTTCACGTAACATGCAAGTCCCTCTACACTACCAGAATGCCCAAAAATGGTTAATTTCAGGGACAAACCACCACTGACAGTAGGGGGATCATGCAAAAAATTGACATCTTTTGGCATGCAACTACAGCAAAAAAATCTTACTTAAAAATTCTCTGATTATATTGCAAGAGACTTTAGTTTTATGATACATTTTTACTGTACGACGAAAATGCATAATAGAAGTCTAGCTCCCCCTTTTCTTCTATCTTTGTTGCTCTGTCCCTTATCAAAGAGAATGCACAGGAATTGTAAAAGACTATTGTGTACATAAGCATATGTATATGCAGAGTCATAAGTCGAGTGAACACTTTAGTTTTACCAGCACTTTTGGGTGGAGACAGTGCTCATATCATCATTTTCTGGTTTACCGATAGTAGTGCGCAGTATGTGTGAGCCGAATAGGGGAGGACAGGGATTCATCACATGCTTGATTCTTCCAGGCAAACGTAGCAGCAATACCGCAGGAAAATAATTTCAACCATCCACGGGGGTCGGGTCGGGCTGGGAAACAATGACTTGGACCACGAAACCTTTGGGGATTTTTGCATCTTCTATCCGCATCTTATCCTGGAGCAATTTCCCGGAGAAGTACCACCTTTGCCGCGACGACTCGATCCCTTCTTCTGCATTCAGTCTCTTCTTAATGTGTAACACAGAGTCTGTGGTCTGCACGTTAAGTTTCAGGTCCTTGCCTGTGGAAAGTCTAAGTTTAAGGGAAACCTCCTCGCCGGTGGTTAATGACTCGGGAACATCGTTGGGGTCTGATTCACTATGCTCCTCCGAGATCATGTTGACTGGTGCAGAAATACAGTACACCGGCAGCTGGTACCTATTCCCCAGTTCATCATAGCAGTCTTGGAGAGTCCCTGGCAAAGGAAGAGGACACACGTCCAGGTTAATGACATGAATATGGATCTCTACATCTCTTGTCACGAAAGGTGACACCTGTATTTATGTCTACTACCTGTCAAGAAATTCACAAATTTTCAATCATAGACGTTTTGGAAGTACTGCAAATATACTAGTATGTCTACCTGATAAGGGATACAAATTTACACAAATGGTGAGCCAAGTGAATGCTCCCCTTACCATGAGGAAGTGATATGTTTGCCCCGTCTATGATGGCCTGTGCTAGCTCGTGGTCGTTGCTTTCCACTGCGTTGCACGCTGCCCGCAGGGCGTCCCAGATTTCCTTGCGCCCTTCAAACGCCGGTGCCGTGTCCCAGAACTCGTCCCTCTTGCTGCGCAGCTGTCCATCCGTGAAGGGAACGTCAGACTTCCACTTCGGCTTGTCCTTCTTGAGAGGCTGGTTCCTTCCCATGGCAACTACAGAAACACAAGAACATGAGACATGAGTTTTGAGAAGCTACTGGTAAGTTAAAACACACTGGTCCAAGACAAGTTCACACTTGGTAAATGTCTTTAGACATATAAAGCAGCAGCCTTAACTACAAAGTTCTTGTACTGTGTTCACATGTACAAGACAAGTTATTCTGATATTACATGTGCCCATTGGCCATTCAACTACTGGGAGACAAGGAAATGAGACATGAGGTTTGAGCTAAGTTTACACACACCAACCCACGACACTGACAATTGGTAAATGTCTTCAGACATGACATGTATACTCAAGCAGCACTCTTAGCTACCAAGTCATTATGATGTTGCGTGTGCCTATCGGCCATTCTTCTCACGTAAACCTACTCTTCAATTAAAACCATTCAGCCTGAAGGATTCGGTTCGATGGTTAATACAACATGGGCTTCATTATCCTTTGTCAGTCATCTCTGAACCAAATCCTTAAGGGCAAGCTTTTGAATTACCTCCTGGTGCAAAATTACAGTGACATAAAGTCATAAGGAAAAGAATGAACATAGACCATATGAGGGAAGATAATAGACTAGAAACTAAGAAAGGCATCAAGGAATCTACCTATTATTAGTATACCTTAAAAAATACTTAAGTAAAATAGTCCTGATGGGGACTCACTCAGTGTTAATATAAACATGCATTATACAATTACAAAGCAAAAAAAATTGAGTCAGCTATCAAGACTGTCACACAACAAAGGTAACTATGTATGTAACTAAAGTAACAACATACAATCCAAAGTAAATATGAAGTTTAGACTATTACGTGATGATATCCAAAACAAAGGAAGCTCACAATTTAGTGTAGTGTAAATAGTACATTCTCTCTGCTAAGATGCCCAAAATCAATATCAAATTTTAGGGTTTGACACATGGAACCAACACAAAGTAATCAGCCTTTAGCCCATGTCCCAGGTTACATATGTGCTTCATCAGTATCAAATGTCAAAATTTGTCTACGTGACACATTTTCCAGATGGATTTCTCATTGACTGACTGACTTCTAGTCCAAAACTGTCGGTCACAAAGAGTTCACTGTCATCTTGCAGTACTGTACTATACATCAAGACTGTTTTCAATCTGGGAGGTTCACTATGAACTGTAACAGCTACCAGTACCACTTGATGCTAGTACTGGCAGTCAATGGCTGGCACAATTCCAGGGGCTTATGCATACATGTACATGTAGTTTGGAAAACAATGTTGGCAAATGTTGTTATCTAGACTCCTTGGTCTGCATTAAGGCTTGTGAAGGAAGCTCTTTTGTAAAACAGTACTATACAAATAGACTGTACACAAAATGCATATAACTGCGCACATCAGTTAGTTTTATATAGCAAACATTAAACAGTGGTATCATGTGTGAATTGAATGAAAAACTATTCAACGTAAGTGTGTGACTCCTGGGTGAAGGCACACCTTGTGTCAAGTCTTTTTCCGTCGAAGGTGTGAAAAATTATTACTCCCAAGTCCCTGCAATCAACGGTTGTAGAGACATGATATATCATTCAAATCACTGTGAATGGAAAACAAAGCAAATGAATCTACAGAATTCCAGCCAAACACGTGGCAGGTAACTGATTGAAGTTGCATCCCTAAGAAAAATCAACGTGATGCCTTGTCTAACACTTTGGCATAATGTTCAGACAGGACGTTTATCTGATGTCTACAGTTGTGTTGCCCAGAGTTTGGTTTGCCCCCTCTTGGCCAGACAGTTTTACAGGCACATGTGTATTACTGGTCAAACAAACAGGCTGTTATCAAGTTGGTTGCTATGGTGACAAAGTGTATTGAGGGCAAGGCTGGAATATCGTTATTGACACATTCTATTCAAACTCTGTTGCTTTGGGAGAAGATGATTTATGTAACCATCGTTGGCAGATATCCCCCTCGTCAGTGTCATTATGGGTGTGCTAGTCTGACTCTCCCTGTGACCAGGAATGTGCATGAGTCAGTGACTGACAAAAGTAGGCCATTCTACATGCTGGTAGTAATTACTATGTGACAGGTTTTCTTCTTGCTAAAAAAAATAATAAATATTCGCACAAGACATGTTTTATCTATTCCGAAATTCAACTGCATTACCCAACTATAACAATCAACATAACAATATAGTAATGGGATATACTAACAAAAGCATGATACATTTGCATTTGATTCCTTTGTTTCCTATGATAACTTGTCCCATGGATTAATAATTTAGTTCCTTTTTACAGGGTAATCATACATTAGTTATTATGAGGATCTAACCCTAACCTGCACACGAAAAAATTATAACACAACGTAAGGCGGCCTGGAAAACTTATTGTGTCACACACGACTGGAATTGATATAATTTGTAGATTGGACCACGAATCTTCAGGTTTATAACTTGCAACACCAGTTACACCACAATTATCAAACTGAGAGACTTGATACCCAAGGTCACGTGTAACGTCAGAGCAAGTACTGCTTCTCCGAACTGTTTTGTACACACCGACTGTCAGGAAACCAGACAGAATTTGAGGAAATAACAACAGACACTTCCTGGATCGTCACACAAAAGACGTGGCTTGTTCTACATTCAGTGTAAAATGTCCACATCAAACTACATTAAAGCGGATAGGTTTATAGCGAAGTTTTCTCCGCCATGTAAATGTGGTGTCAGTGACTTCGGCATGTGGAAGACTGGGAGCTTTTGTTGTAGACACTCGGTAAATAATTACACGACGAAAGCATCAACAAGAACGGAGAGAACATATACACAAAACACCGGCTAGCCGGGACATGGGGGAAAATTAAGGCGAGGACTAAGCTGACACATACCGGGCGAGCTGTTTTCCGTGTCATTTGTGACCGACGATCGGTCGTGGTGGGTCCCGATGCACCCTCCCATGGCATCACTGGCTTTCTGTGCGTCTTCGCGTCAGACAGAAGGGTTTTGGGCCTCCAACTTTGCCGAAACGGGATGTTTTCCCTCCCTTGCCGTCAGAGGTTTCCCTTCTTTTCTGGCCTGCCGACTTCACCTGATGACGTCAGGAACCACGTACCGCGCATGTCCGTTGTGAAGGGTGGCCCATCATGCCCTGCGCGGCCTACAGGTTAATGACCCCGTCACGTGATGTCTTAAAACTTCTGTATCAGTGAAAGGACATATATCATATGATGTCCTTGATCATTGTATGATACTATGTGATTTTAAGGTAGATTTACTACTAGATTGCGACATTGACAGCCCACTTTTCTGATCATTAATTAAACCGTAAAAAACATACTGATGTAACACATGCCTTGGCTAAAAAAAAACACCTGCTGCAGGAGAGATCAAACCTCATTGAATCTCCTTTGTATAACAAAACTGTTGCACAGTTATTAAGTATGTACAATTTTCTACTTTATCATGATATCTGGAGTACTACCAGGGTACTTTCTTCAGTTAATAAGTTTTATTCTTTTAAGTTACGGGAGTGAGTTAAAAGACATTACATTCCGTTGAAACTAAATTGTATAACATAATTTACAATCTGACTCAAAGAATAAATTCACTCAGGGATTGCCATCCATCCCAACATCTTTATTAATCAAAAAAATTCACTGCAATTGAAATGCACATTTTATCTCATAATCTTATAATAATCAGTGTTTCTTTGAAGTCTCTCAATATAGTGAACATTGGGACACATCATTAGCAAAACTTGGAGAATTCTTGCTGAATTTGTACCAACGTCACTGTTCAATGCTCAATGGATGGTAAAATTCTAACTGGAATTAAGAGAAAAATTGTTTTGCTTCAATAATTAAACTGAATACAGCCTATATCCTCATGTCCATCTCTATCAATCAATATTATCATGTTACATCATCGTTGATATGTTTCAGCTGTAAACAATAAATGGTATTATTCCTTGCAGTCATAGTCACTTCTTTCTTACAACCCTTTCTTTCCTTCTGAAACTTCCTTCAAGTCTATATTTGAATCTCTATCGCTCTTCTGCCTGTATATATGACTTTTGAATGGGGATATCTATTTTTCATTCAGGTCTTTAGTTGTAGTTCCTGATTCTTCCTGGGATGCTGTTGTTTCAGATTGAGACAGGGGTGTCCCTGTGTACTGGGCAATTTTGGCTGCGCTTGTAGCAATGGGACAGTCTGAGTCTTTCCTGTCCTCGTCTCCTTCACATGTCAGAAGGACACTTGGTTGAGTGTGCATCTGCAAGTGAGATGCCAGCATTGTCTGATCCCTGATAGTTGAGTAACAGAAACTGCACTCAAATCCTGATGTAGACGTCGCAAAGAAGGACTCCACCACCTCCCTTGGCATTCGGACCATGGCATGGAGGTGTGAGGAGCTGTCCCATGTGCAACATTCATAGTGTCTGACCAGAAGGGCCCACTTGGGAAATACTGCTTTACATGTCAGGCACTCATAGATGACCCCCTCTGCATCTACTAGTGAAATGTCTAAGGTGGAAAAGTCAGTGTTGTCTCCCTCATTACTCAATCCTACTAACGATTCTGGAGGAAAACTGGACATCTGAGCTATGTCTTGATCAGAAACATTGGTCTTCTTGGTCAGACTTGGACTACCTTCATTTACCGCCTGATTTGCAGAGCTTGAGTTTTCCTGTTCCCGATGTCTTCCGAATTCCACTATTTTTGCACTCATCTCTTTGATGTGGTTTGCACAGTCAGCTCCGTACTTTGAATGTTTGGTTCCGAGGTGGTCAGTTGCATTGGTGTAGAAACGGAAAAAAGATTTACAGAGTGTGCACTGATAGATGATGTGGCCACTTTGGGCAGATGTCAGTTGCTCTTGTGATAGTGACCTCTTCCTTAGGCTCAAATCAAGAGCAGAAGATGATGGTGACAAACTTGGTTTCTTTGATGGATTACTTATTGGCTTTGCAACACTACTCCTGGAATGCTGTTCTTGTACCAACTGTCTTGCAGATTCTACCTTGGAGCTGTCTTTACCCAACAGCTTACAGGATTGATCCTTCAGAACACTGTCCTGAGAACAGCTTTCCATTTCTGGGGTAACGACTTCAACAAAGTCGGACCACTTCATATCCAAGTCCTTCAATTCATGCTTCTCGCTCAGGTGCCTGGCCATGAAGCCCATGTAGTTGTACTGGGCGCTGCACAGCTTGCAGCGGTGCTTTCCATACGTGACGACATCATGCTTGCTCACCTCCAGGACTGGAACCTGCTGGCTGGTGCAGTACGTGTCAAAGCCTGACGTTACCTTGTGACAGGTCATCAGATGGTCCTCTAAGGTCTTGAACTGCAGGAAGGCATTCCTCGTCTTGTCTTTAGACTCAGGACAGAGTGCACAGCAGTACTGAGTAACCGTCCGTCCATGGCTAGGACTGGGGTGGACATCTGAAGCTCCTTCCTCTGTTTTTACCTCTCTTCCACTCCCCATGTTTTCCATAACCTCAGGTTTGACGACCTCGAAGTGGGCACTCCCCTTGACAATCTGGTCCTTTACGCCATGTTGATCTCTCAGGTGTTTGACCAAGAAGCCAGGCATGTGATAGTAAATGGGGCAGTACTGGCACTGGTACTTTTCCTGGGTGTTTGTTTTAACATTGGGGAACTTCTTGATGGTGAAAAGCTTCTCGAACCTTGATCGTATGTTGTGTTTGTCTCGGAGATGTTGTGTAAGGGCCGTGTACTGTGTGAAAGCTGTGGCCTCCAGTTTGTCTGGGGATTTAACTGGGGTTGGATCACAGACAAGGCAACAATAATAAGGTATCATGTTAGCTAGAGCTCTGGCCTTTTGATGTGATATCTTTGCCTTTTTCGCAGCAGGTTTTCCATCATTCCATTGATCTTGAGGTTGGGTATCTGCTTCCTTTTCTTTAACATTCAAGTCCAATACATTGAAACTTCTTTGGTCTGGCAGCCTGCTTTGTTTCTCTCCACTTTCCGTAAGAGTCTGCTGCTGCTTCACAATCTTGGTCACTGACTTTCTCTGCACCTTTAGATTCATGGGTGTGACTTCTGTTTTCACCTCAATTTTCTCCGGATCCTTGCCAATTTGTTGACCTACCCTCTCTGTCTGATGAACTGACATATTGGGAGACTGATGTGCACATTGCTGTGTCTCCAGCTGGTCAAGTTCTTTAGGTTGTTCTCCATTTTCCTCGCTCCCTAACTGGTCAGTCCAGTCACCTGTCCCTAGCACGCTCTCAACACTAGTACTGCCCTTGTCCATCATAACTCTAGCAGCAACCTTCGAGACAAGTTCATCTATTCGTCGCCTCTGTAATTTCTTCTGGACCCTACCATTCCCTGTCTCTTCCATACTGCTGGCATCAATGTCTGTCATATGCTTTACATAGTCACCGGCCTGCGCGGGTTTGTTGTCAACAGCTTCCTCCTTTGTTTCTGTACTGGAATCTCCCATTTGATCCTCTTCTGCTGCTCTCTTTTTTGGAATGCCTTTCCTCCTGGACTGCCTGGATTTTCTGTGGCGTACATCTTTGACATCCAGCTTTGGTGCCTTGAGCTGTACTAACTCCTCCTGTTCTTGGTCCTTACTATATGAAGGATCAGCAGCAGATACAGACACTGATTCAGAAACAGGGGCTACTGAGGATTTTGTCTCTGGAGAATGCTCCTCTGAGTCGAGGAAGGTTAAACTGACCCTTTTCTTAAACCAATAGATGACTAACCCCAGACTTAACCCTGTCTTCTCTGCAATTCTACTCATATCCTGCATTGTCGGCTTTGGGTTTTTCTGCAGTTCCTCCTCCATGTATGCTGTGTGGTCTGTGGATTGCTTATAGTACACGTTCCTTGGTCGTGGTCCGAGCTTCTGATTCTGTCTCTCGTAAGCAAACCACGTCCTTATGAGAGCAAACTCCTGCCCAGTCTCCATGGCCAGTCTCTGGATTTCCTCTCTGCTTGGATACTGGTTGCAGGCATAGCTTGCCTTCAGAAGATGCTCCCACTCCTTAAGTGTAGTCTCATTGGCTGGCATGAACTTCTTCTTGTGCTTATAACAGCCAGAACTTGATTTTTTGGGAGTTTTGGAAGTCTTCTTTGCTGCAACTTTCCTTACAACCTGTGAACTTTCAACCTTAAACTTTGCACCTCCATCATCAAGTCTAGTTTCTTCAACCTTCCTTCGTTTACTCTTAGCTGCTCTTTTGGCTCCTTCCTTATCCCCTTTTGCTTCCTTCTTTTTTCTCTTTGTGCATTTCTTTGACACTTTTACGTCTTTGTCAGTTTCTTTCTTTACTGGTAGAGACACTTCAAGAACGAGGGGTTCTCTTGGTGTTCTTCTCTTTCCCCAAGCAGGTTCTTCTTTCTGCTTGTTTTTGTGGACTTTAAAAACATGGTAGTCTCTCTCATAGGCATATGTAAAGATTTGTCCACATTCTTCACAGAGCTTTTTACGTATACTCTTACCAGTAGTAAGGGGTTCTCCGGGCTTTCTTCTCCTGCCCCAAGCAGGTTCTTCTTTCTGCTTGTTTTTGTGGACTTTGAAAACATGGTAGTCTCTCTCATAGGCGTACGTAAAGGTCTGCCCACATTCTTCACAGACTGATTTACGCATATTTGTAGAAGGTGCTGCACACTTGGTTGTGTCTTCATTGGCATCTGTTGCATCTTTTTTATTTGCATTTTTCAACTGATCTGACTTGAAATGAGAAGATCTTTGCCTGGAAATGTGGCTCTCACTCCTATGTTTTTGATAGTTGCTTGCATTCGTTGTAGTGAAACCACAATCCGAACATCTCAGAGGCTCGGACTTAGGAACTATTTTGCATGTACTTTTGGCTGGCATCTCTGACTGTTTCTCGTACTTAGCTGCAAGCGCTGCGTAGTGAACAATCTTATGAAAGTGGCCAAGGTGCACGAAGAAGGTCATCTTGTCCCTTGCCACAAAGCCGCAAAATCTACAATCTCGTCCGTTAAAATACTGTCCAGACAACGGGATGTCAAACTTCTCCTGACAGTGGACCTGGATGTTGTGAGCACACCTCATGTGCCTCATGAAACTAACAAAACGTACATGAACCTGTAAACACAGCTTGCACACAAGAGGCATGAGCTGTGAAAGTGAGTATGCCGTTTTATACTTGGTGTTGCTGTCAGATGTGTTTTCTGTTTTAGTGCATCCATTTTCTACATGACCATCTTCAGTTTTCTCTTGTCCCTCGTCGTCACTGACCTTGCCTTCATGAGGATAGTTAGCAACTGTAAGCTCCTTTATTTCTTCCTTCTTTACTGCACTTTCTGAAGCACCACTACACAACCGATTCTCTTGTGTTTGTCCTGTAGAAGTAGAGGTCTTTTTGTCTTCCGAGACATTTTCTACAACTGGTTCTTCCTCTCCTAACTTCTGAACTTGCTGGTCTGGATTGTTTGTAGCATTTGTGACTGGATATGGCTGTGCAAGTTTATTACACTCTTCCATGATGTCCATGTTGTGTACAAATTTCAGGTGGTTATTCAAGTTGGTCTTACATTCAGGACGCTCCTCACAGAAGGGACAGGCAAGAGCAATACAGTCTTCCAGTTTCTTCACCCCAAACTGTTGCACTTCTCCTGCTTTAGTGTCTTCTGTCCTACTCTTCTTCTTGACAAGGACAATTTTTTCACAGGTATGACCTTCGCATACACAGGTTTGTCTGTCCCAGAGGGGTTGGCATCCAACCTGTTCTCTGTCTTCAGGAGTAGAACTGGCTTCAGGTTGGAAGGTTTCTGCGGTTCAGAGAATGAAGAAGTTGGAGAGGAGACTTGACAAATGATGTCTTGTTCTCTCTGAGCTTTACCATGCAGGACCTGTACATGGAGTAACAGCTTGGCATAGTTATATGTTTTATACAGGCAAAGGGTACATCTGTAGTTCATCATGGTGGAGAGCTTTGATGAATCTGTGGCCACCTTTTCTTCTCCTTCAACTCTCCCTCTACTCTTCTTTGTTTCTGTCACACCCACTGCCCCATGGCCACTTTCCATGTCTTTCACCTTGCTACCCTTTCTTCGCACAGTTGTTCTTCTGTAGTAATTCCTCAACTCTTCAGTGGGAATGAACAACTTGTGTGCATTTTTCAAGTGCCGATGCATACACCCCAACTCGTAGTAGTAAGCTGGGCATTCCTGACAGTAGTATTTCTTCATCTCATGCTGTCTTTCATCTTTGCCCTTGCTCTTTGAACTTTTGTCAGCTGCTTTCTTTGGAGAGTACTTGGCTGGATTATTTTTCATAAAGTCTGAGACCACATTTAGACCAATATCATATAGAATGTTACTCATGGAAGTGCCTGGCACTTGCTCAGATCCATCATAATCTTCCTTTTGATCCTGATACTCTCTTGAAGAGGTTGATGGCTGTGGTTGGAAGACTTTGTTTCCGCCAATCTCTCTTGAAGACATAGCAGGGGTGTCTATGATTTGCTTTCCTTCTTCAACAGTTTCTGAGTCACCATCCCTCACATCGCTAGCCTCTTCTAGATCTGTAGGCAAACTGTGCTTACTATTGGATACAGTGATATCTGTTTCTGTTGGTATTGTCTTAAGTAGCTCAGTTATGGCTTCTTGACACACTGTATCTGTATCAGAGTTGTCTGGAATGGCAGGAACGTCAACCCCTGCCTTGACAGAAGCATCCATCTTTTTCGTGACTTTGCTTCTCTATCATTTGCAACATTCAAAGTTTCTACATGCTCTCTGTTTGAAAAGATAGATAATATAATGATGTAAAAACGACTTTTGGCTGCAACTAAAACATCTTGAATATATTCATCTGACTTCTTCCCAGACAAATGATGTCTTCTTCAGTGTATTAGAGTTGGAGATGGACACATTTTTCTCTCAACATCTCACAAAGAACACCTGAAAAACACAAAGAAAACACAGTTGATCAGACAATACATCATTTCCTAGGCAAAATATCAGGTACAATTTTCTGTCCAACATTTGACCTAGTTAAACTACCTTATTGAATAGTATTAAATAAGTACATTAAAGCTTAAGTTAACAAATTGGATATTCGAATTTCAAGTGCATATATTCATCATGATATATTTCTACTAACTGTTTTATAAATTTTTTATTCCACCGAAGTTTGAAAAGTATTCAGCAAAAGGAACCTGGTCTCATGAAAAGTGGAGAACAAGATTAAGACATTCAATACACAGTTGGCATGTCGCCCCGTCCTTGCCCAGTTCATTGCCCCCACAGGGTGTGATCCCCACGAGTGTAAATCTAATCTTTCATCAGGGTAGGATTTCGGCCTATTATAAACTAGACTTCCGCGCTTTGAACACCAAGGAAGAAGTGGTGACTGTTGTCTTTAGTTGCTGGGTTTTGGCTAAGAAAATCAATGATCTATTCGCATTTGTAGATAAAACACACACAACAACCTGCCGTTTACTGCCGACCGGATCATGTCCGTCATCAAAACACCGATCGCAACGTGTCGGCCAAGTTTGATCTTTGAAGGGGGCTAACGCTAAGAACTGGCCCGTAAAGTACTAAGAGGAAGGAAGAACTGTTTAGCACATACCTCGTAAATAGCGGGTACTTGTATCTTTAAAGATTTCTCGCCTCGAAACCTGCCCGAACTGAAGTCGTCACGTTCCAGCTCAGCAAAATGGCGCTGGGACCCCAAGACTGATGCCGCAATGCATTTTGGGGTTTTTCTCGCACCGATCACGAGCCACACCCGAGATCCCTCAGAAGAGCGCCGCCGTGCGGACATCGCTGTAATCGCAGCACGCGCTGATGAAGATTTTATATTGAACTTCACAATAAAATATTTCTTCATTCACGTCACGATGCATGACACGAAGCCTATCATCCAGTTGCAAACTTAAGACTACACTTCTGTTGTAATAAAGGACTGACGTTATTCCTCGTGTGAGACAATCATCCTTATTAGTGACATTACATGTTGCAACTTTCACAAGTTACAATTACTTCGTCTACGTCTACATCTTAGCAAATTAAAGTATAAACTGCTCTAACGTTTAAGATCTCCACGTTAGTTATCCGTATTATAACGCTATCATTATAGAAATTAAATATTTCTTCCGTAACAGCGTTTCCGAAGCACTTGATGAGCTGGAGGGAAAAAGCAGAAGGTACCAAGCTTTGAAAGACGCAAGGGACGGCGCTGTGAAAGTTTTTTTTTTTTAATCCCCTTTTCCCAAAACAGAGTAGCAACTCACTCAGCTAGTTGCCGGATGTCATGAAATGGAGCTGTTGTTCGTGTGCGCATTGAAAATATAAAGTAAACTTAGAAAACAATATTTATTCCTTACAAAGTAATAGATACAGAAAGGAGGATCAAGGACATTATGTAGAAAGTCCTTGGGAGGATGCAAAAAAGATCTGTACGACTCTGCTAATTTGGTGAAAAATAAAGCACCATTAAATTGTTTAAAATGCATCATTTTAACGCAACAATAGCGATCGTAGACCGCTCCTTCTGAGAGGCCATTTGTCACGTTGTTCCGCCTCACTGCGCTATTGTGACTGTTGATCTCTTTGATGTTTAAAGTTACGCCCCTTTTGCACACCTGGCGAGAGGTGACGAGACTTCCCGAGACGTCATTTTCCAACATGGCGGCTTCCAATCACTGGAAGAAGATCTCCGCAGCTGTGAGGTTCGTCTCCAATAACGCCGTCGCCAGCCAAGAGAAAGCTAGAGCAGAGGCGATAGAAGCACAACACGAGCTCCTTGTGAACGAGATAGAGGCCACTGACGCACCACTTGGGCCTGTCTGCAGGTATTTGAAGGCTCGCGATTACTTCTTATGCGCGAGGAAAATTCACACTCGGTCTATCTTGTAGCGTTGACAGGATTCCTCTCCAGTTCCTCTTCTGGTCAAGTTTGAAAATTCCGCGCTCACGAATCTGAATCCCCCCGAGAGAGCGAGAATTAGTTAGCTCGGCGGAAGTTGCGTGGTTCCCAGCAGTCCGTCACCGCATTCCCATTTATATTTCTGTCACCCCACCAAAACACGATCGAACCAACATGGCGGAGGGCGCCGAGAGCGCAGAGCTCCGCACCGAACACGAGCGCATTTTGAAGGAGATAGAAAGCTCCGAGCCCGGGCTGGTAGGCGGGATACTGAGGTAAACATATCCTGGTAACTTCACGTAACAAGGTTCACGTAGGTTTGTTGCTCGTTTCTCGGCTGTATAACGCCCTTGTATTTGAGCTCGCAGTGATCAGATCATGATGGGAGGGTCGATCCTACACTAACGTCAGTGCAAAAATATAGGATTCTCAGTGCCAAACCAAACTGTCATAGTTTACCATGAAATAAAATAGATCTTGGATTCATCATGGTTAAAACAGACAAGACAAGAGACTAGTGGGAACTACGTGATGCGTCATGGTGAATATTTTTAGGCTGTTTGCAGCACAAAATTTATGTGGAGAGGCAAATCGTGATCAACTTCCTGTTCTGTGCAGCAGAGACCCTCCCTCCTGCCCAGACTGTCTGAAGGGGGCTGCATTGGTTAGACTATCACGTCATGCTATTTTTGGTCCCTGTAGAGACGTAGTGTGGTTAGGCCATGTACACACTAGATGTGGAGGACCAAGGTCAAGAACGGGAGAGCAATAGGTGTTCATTGTGTTCATGAGTTCCTCTGTTTGATGAAGACAACAGCTTGGTTTTGGACTTGTTTCTCTGTTTCTACTGACAGTGTGGACCCTGTCAAAATTCAGCTTTAAATTTTCCAATGAAAAACAAGCTTCTGTTAGTATTTTGTATTGGAATACAGTTAGTGTTGCTGGAAACAAATGCAGCACAAGCACATACCAGGAACCTTGCAGAGTATGCAGACCGTTATGTATGTTACAGCCTACTCCATCTCACATTCCATCATGCCATTGACAAATTTGAACACATCTTGTTGCAGTGTTGAACAGTGTGTGCGCAAGGTACAGTACTGTTCCATCAATCAGCTGAAGATGGGTGGTTAAGTCATTTAGGTTAACTGCCTGTGAAAATTGGCAATCAGGCACCAAAGCTGCCATTTGTGCTGAAGTGGTTTGTCTCCCACCCACCATTATGGGGGGATGTTGTGCTTAATTTTTGTTGTCCTTTTGTTGGAGATTTAAGAGCCCATTTTGGGGCTGTATGCCTGTGTGTGGCTGTGTTTGCACATCAACAATGTCCTGTTACTGCTCAGCATTACTGAATGTTTTGGATGTACATAGGGAACCAATGTATGTTGCATGTTCAACTTACATGTTTATATTTGTGTGTTAATTCATCCATTGTTGATTCTAGCACATACCTATAAATCACTTGAAGTCTCTAGTTTTGGATTTCGAACTTTCAAAACCTTGTGTAGCACAATTTTTCATGACACAAAGTGCCTTCAATTCTTTGCCAACTGAAAAAAAAATCCTCACAAACACTTCAATTGATACTGTGTTTGCAAAACTGTTCATAACATAGGAATGGAAACAATTGAAATATTAAAACCATTTTTTGTTATATTTTGGATTGTTGCCTAAGTTATGCATTAGAGCCTTCATGTATTTGTTTTCAAATCACACGGCATGAAGTTATGATATATATACATTTTCATGTTATTAATTCTAGTTCATTCATTGTTAAGATTTATTTTTGATACGACAGGTGCTTTTAGGATCTTCCAGCTGTTGGCCTTAAAAGGCCGACTTCAAGGCCGACTTCTTGTTTACAAAAGTTGACTTGACATTTTTCTGCTGTTGTGTAGGTGTTATGTTTACTTTGTGGGTGTCAGACCCTTTAAACTTAGGGTTAAAGGTCAATCGTTCGCCAAGCTGGCGGTATAGGAGTGATGTAAACATGTTGTTTCTCATGGAATGGACACTGATGGCGATTGAACACTAACTCTCACACCTGCATTCACACACACACAAATATTGTAGTGTGACTTTCACACACACAAAGGTATACACTAAATTACTAATGAGTTTCAACTTTCAACCACTGTTGAAATAAATCACATCCAAAGTGTTTGAACACCAACAGAAATGGTTGAAGTTGGACATTTTGCATGGGAATCACATCTTTTAGTCTTGCAGTCAAAGTTTTGTGTTGTTAATGTTATGTTCTTCTTGTGGCTTGTAGCTTTCTGATGGGCTAAGTAAAAGACCTGCAAAAAGGAATGCATGTTTCTGTATATGTATAGCCAGCATAACCACCCTTTGATGTAACGTTACACCTGTTTAGTTAGTCAAACTTAATCAATAACTAGAGTTCCACGATCTCACACCTTCGCCAAGTGACTGTAACCTTTACGACTGACGATTTATATTATAAACATTCCTTATTTGCATAAATTATGTCAGGTGATCATATTTTCTATCCAATAACAGTCTTTAGAAAGAAGGCCATTCTAAAGCACGGGTGTGTCGCAGTTAAAGCAGGGGTGTGGAAAGATGATTTTACTTGTGCTGTCAAGACCAGTGATTTAAGATGACAGGATATTGTCTGCTGCAGTTCCAGCCATACGGTTTCACTGGTGACGTCACGGCATGCGCGCACAATCTCGACAAACACGCGAGCCAAGAATCCAAATCAAATCAAAGCTGTCAAAGTCACTAGCCTCCCCCGGGCCTTCCGAATGAAAAGTCATACCGCTGTAAGGGTAACAAATTTCACTGCGCGGCCCACCAAATGCAGCCCTGTGGTGACCAAACTCCTCTCGCAAACCCTCTATTTACGGCTACATTTGGGCCAGCTTTGTTAGTCTGGTGGAGACTGTAGATCCTTCAACATGGGTTAGACCATGGCCAAGGAGTCTTGATAAATCTGTTCCGCTCATCTCTCTTGGATCGTGCTCTGTCGGGATTCTTATGCCGATAAGACGGAAAGCAGAAAGACCAAGAAACCTGTCAGCCCAGTGGCCATAACAAGCTCTAACAAGTAATGGCATGAAATCATGAATGTCATTGATTATGGAAATAATCAATGTGGGATTCCAAACAAATCATTTTAAAAATATGGAAACTGGTCTTTTATTATACCATGCTACGTAATAATTTATTTATATGAATTACATATAGTTCAATCACCATTTCTTAATAATGGAATTATTATACATCAGTGTAAAATAATCATTTTAAACCTGCTCTATACAATAACAAACTGTATATGTATACAAGTATCAGATATACATTTGTTTATAGTATTTACATCACCATTTACATCAGAATGTTTTATTGTATATTATATGTTTGTTTTATTCATTTTACATTATATGTTTTTCGATTTCATGGGTATTAATTATTGTAAATCAATTGTTTACAATATCAGAGAAGGAGAATGTCACAATCAATACCAAGCTAAGAATTGGATTTGATGCACAAAGGTTGCTGCTGTCATATTTGTATCTTGAGCATGTCAAACCATGAACTGCAAAGCTTTTGTTTTAGAGTGGATCCATAGTCTGATGTTTTAACATCAAGGAAAGTTTTAACATCAAGGAAACACAGACCATGTCATGGTCTGTGTAATATGTGTCCTGAACACTGACATGGACACTGTCTTGTCCATGGTCACGGACGTAAACGTGATCAAGGAGGGTACCATAGTCAGTGGTGGGAGATTGAACCTGTTGGCTGAAGCCAAACTGCCCCATAACAGATAGAATGTTGGGAGGTGGGCATTTGAAGAGGTCGAAATTGAAATCACCGAGGATAACTGTCAAGATGTTCCTGGGAAGCTGATGTAAGAGTTTTTGCAGTCTATCGATGAAGTCTGCTTCTGGCAAGGAGGGTGGTCTGTAGATGGTGATGATGTTGACTGTGGTGGATGCTTTGGTGACAGTGGTACCTATGAATTCTAGTCCCTTGACTGCAATATGAAGATGTGTGGGATTGATGTCTTGTCTTGCAAGGTTCATGACTCCGCCGCCTCTTCCCATTCTCTCTGTTCTAAAGGCTCGGGTTTCTGGTATGAATTGTTCAATCTGTTGATGCCTTTGCAGAAAGGTTTCGACGAAACAGAAAATGTCAACAGGAAGCGTCGACCTGTCTGCTTTTAAGTCTTGCAGATGTTCAGGATAGGATCGTATGTTGAGCAGCTTCGATGATGAGAGAAATGTCACAATCAGGGGTGAAAGACGGCAGTGGGGCCTTCGGGACAAGCTCTTGTTGCAGGCGGTCCATTTCTGAGAGTACAGCTGGGTTCACACGGATCGCACTTGTGTTAAATCCCAGAAGATACAGGCCGTGTAGGCTCTTCACCCGGCTTAGGGCAACGTAAGCTTGGCCAGGCATGAAGCAACCTTTGCTTTCCATTGAGACAACAATTGTGGTCAATGTCTTGCCTTGAACTTTGTGAATAGTGCAGCCCCATGCTAATGACAGTGGAAATTGAGCACGCTGTGCTTGGACCGACCGTCTTCCCTTACCAGTGAAGAACTGAACAGTTTGTCTTTTGATGGGTACTGCTCCGGGGTAAGCCTGCTTATATTGGCTGTCGGTAATGGCTTGTTTGCCAACACGATCACTATCAAACTTAACCAGAATGGTATGGACATCAGGACCTGTGCTGTCAACGCCAACGACCGTGGCAAATGTTCCATTTACAAGTCCATCTGCAACGTCAATATTAACCGTCACCATCACCCTTGCTCCCACCGCTACAGACACGACTTCTCGCAAGCCACCCGTGTCACTTGGCTTGGTGGACATGTTAACATTAGTGAAACCCGTTAGAAGATCTTTCTTCGAGTCGATGGCTTTGATATCAAACACCTTTGACGAAAGTGTTGTCAGGTGTTTGGCATTGTGCTCGTCTACTTCTCTGTTGGTTTTGAAGACATGCAGCGCTTCTGATGGATAGCTTGGGTCGGTTCTGGATATGACCCTGGACTTGAGAAGGTGAATGTCATCTTCTGTGCATGAGGCTGTTCTTACTCTCATCAGAAGGTTTGCAAAGTTTTGGTCTTCTTTCTGTCGCATGCTCTCCGTGAGTTCCATCATGTGGAAGTTTTCCTCCCACAGAGATCCATGCAACTTGGCGTAGCTGTCTGAAGGCAGGCCGAAGACATGATTCTGACCGACAGGCTGGAGTTGGAACAGGTCTCCGACAGCCAGGATGCTGACCCCTCCAAACCGGCTG